TTGACAGTCTACAATTATCCCATATTCTAAGCTACAGTGCAAAGTTGAACCGTCATTTTAATATATGAAAGGCAAGGTAATTCAGGGATAAGAACAAAGCAACCTTAAATGAAGACACTGATCCAGTAAAAGAAACATAAAAGCATTCTATTTTAAACATAATGGATGTCCTTTTGGTTAAAAGTCACGCCCTTTAAATAATAATCAAACTATTACTTATATCCTGAGTACTCATAATAATCAATGACTATTACTTTCATAATAATCAAAATATTACTTATATCCTGAGTATTAATGTTGATAGCTTTTTAAATGTATAGATCATACCTTCTTTAAAAGTTGATTGAACATATCCAAAACTGATTCAACTTCTCGAAAGAAGCTTTCCAGTGTTAAAGACGACCATGTTAACACTGTGAGTCCTTGCCTCAACACAGATTCCACCTAGAAATGGCACAAACACAACAGCTTCTATTATTAGCAGGAGCATCTGCACTTATAGAAAAGGATTTATCACCTGCAAATATTACATGTTCTATTTTTTACATATATTTTCCCTCTACTACACCTAATAAAGACGACTTTTTATTTTTAACCATCTTTGGCTGTCCAGGAAACAATCATGAATTTTCAGAAAAAGTGTTCATGATTTAGATTGTTGTTTTTTCAAAGGCAATGAAACTTAGACAAGAAACTCTTTAAAAAAAAAAAAAAAACAGAGCTATAAAATGGAACTAGAAAGATAGAGAGCCTGAAGAAGAATAGATATTCCAAAATCTGTAGATTTATAGAAACAAAATCTAATTTTAAATAACAGGAAAATCAATATAAACCTTCAGCAATACCAACCTTTTTCATTTTGGGGGTCATCAGATTGACAAACACAGAAGGGACTTCCTGACATAACTCATCATAATTTTGCAGAAGACCCTGTAAGAAGTTGAAATGACATGTTTTATTTTAATTCATTTAAAGTAGCAGTCACGTTTTGATTCATGCCAGGAAGGTTTCATTATCCCTGTTTCCTCATAGTCCTGCCATCACGACAGCTGCCTACTTAAACTTATGCTGAGTTACCATACTTTTGCTGTACCTATAAATCACCTGAGCATCTCTTTTAAACAAGCCAATAGCAATCTCTGGATCTTCATTTTTCATATTTACTATTTGTCTTTCTATATGTATATTAAGTAGTTTGAATAATTTTTTGTGATATCTGACATTATACATTTCTCCTTTCTGTTTCTTATCTTCTGACACATTGAAATATACTCATCATTGATGCCACACTTGATTTCTTGAAACAAAATAAATTTAGATTCTCCAAGCAAACAGAATAAGCTTTTATATTATCTCTTAGATATTGTTTTAGAGCTAATCTATGATGATCAATTTTTAGCTATTTTGTAATTTACTACACTGTGGGGTGGGAAATGTGGATTCAAGTTTCTTTACCTCCAAATTAATAATCCTAAAACTGTTTCAATATTTAGCTAACAGTTCCAAAGCTCTTGATTCCTCTTTCCTCTTTATACGTTACTTGTAGTTGGAAGTTTTATTTATACTTGACACTTTCTAAAGAACTTTGACTTTCTTGACATTGTTCAATACTAACTAAAATCCTATAAAATGGAATGCAAACTATATTAGCTTCAATTTATAACAGTACTTTTAAACCCAATCCTCCAAATTCACAGCTAGCCAGTACAAAAGCCCATGCCTGGCTTTTGATACCAAATCCAGTTTCCACACTACCAATGTCACTCTAGTGTTTTTTTAAAAAAACAATTAAATACTATTTTTTGTTAGAGCTAAAACTATTAAACTGTTGGAAGACAACATGGCATAAATCTTCATGACTTTGGATTTGAGAAAGGATTCTTAGATATGACACCAAAAACGCAAAAGACAAAGTAGATCAATTGGACTTCAGCAAAATTTAAAATATTCATGCTTCAAAGAACACCATCAAGAAAGTGAAAATACAACCCAAAAATGGGAGAAAAAATTTGCAAATCATATGTCTGATAAGGGACTAGTATTAAAACCTAAAATGAACTTTATAACTAAAAAGATAGACAAATACTCAATTTAAAAATGAGCAAAGGATCTGAATAGATGCTGCTGAAGGAAAGTATGCAAAGGGTTAGTAAGCACATGAAAAGATGCTCAACCATCACTAGCCATTAGAGAAACAAAGACAAAATCAAAAGGAGATACCACTCACACTCACTAGGATGGCTATCATAAAAATGACAAATAATAACAAGTGTCAGCAAGGATGTAGAGAAATTGGAACTCTCATACAGTGCTGGCAGGAATGTAAAATGATAGTCACTTTGGAAAACAGTCTGGCAGTGCTTCAAAAGGTTAAACATGGAGTTACCAAGTTACTGAAGCCCTCCTCTCACTATATATCCAAGAGAATGAAAGATACATTCACACAAAAACTTGTATATAAATGCTCACAACAGCATTACTAATAATAGCCAAAAAATATCTAATAGAAACAACCCAAATGACAATCAACTGATAGAGTAGGTAACTAAAATGTGGTACACTATAACCATGCAATCAAATATTATTCAGTCATAAAAAGGAATAAACTATTGAGACATGAAATGGTATGAATAAACTTAGAAAATACTAAGTGAAAGAAGCCAGTCACAAAAGACATAAATTGTTTGATTCTATTTGTATGAAATGTCCAAAATAGGCAAATTCATAGAGACAGAAAGAAGATTAGTGGTTGCCAGGGAACAGGTGTGGGGAGAGTTGAAGGAAAATGGGGAATTAATGCTAATGGGTTAGGGAGTTTCTTTCTGGGGTGATGAAAATGTTCTGATTGTGGTGATGGTTGTGCAACTTCATGAACATAGGCGTAGCCAGAAGTATTGCAGGTTCAGTTCTGGACCATCACAATAAATCAAATACCACAATAAAGTCAGTCATACAAATGTTTTGTTCCCCAGGGCATATAAAAGTTATGTTGAAAAATATGTAAAGGACCTCTTCAAGGAAAACTGCAAACCCCTGCTCAAGGAAATAAGGAGGACACAAACAGATGGAAAAACATTCCATGCTCATGGTTAGGAAGAATCAATATCGTGAAAATGGCCATACTGCCCAAAGTAATTTATGGATTCAACACTATCCCCATCAAGCTACCAATGACCTTCTTCACAGAACTGGAAAAAAACACCTCAAACTTCATATGGAACCAAAAGAGAGCCCACATAGACAAGACAATCCTGAATAAAAAGAACAAAGCTAGAGGCATCACGCAACCTGACTTCAAACTATACTACAAGACTACAGTAATCAAAACAGCATAGTACCAGTACGAAAACAGAGATATAGACCAATGGAACAGAACAGAGGCCTCGGAGGCAACACCACACATCTACAACCAGCTGATCTTTGACAAACCTGACAAAAACAAGCAATGGGGAAAGGATTCCCTGTTTAGTAAATGGTGTTGGGAAAACTGGCTAGCCATGTGCAGAAAGCAGAAACTGGACCCCTTCCTGACACCTTACACTAAAATTAACTCCAGATGGATTAAAGACTTAAATATAATACCTAACACCATAAAAACCCTAAAAGAAAGCTTAGGCAAAACCATTCAGGACATAGGCATAGGCAAGGACTTCATGACTAAAACACCAAAAGCATTGGCAACAAAAGCCAAAATAGACAAATGGGATCGAACTTCTGTGCAGCAAAAGAAACAATCATTAGAGTTAACTGGCAATCAACAGAATGGGAAAATTTTTTGCAATCTACCCATCTGACAAAGGACTAATATCCAGAATCTAAGAAGAACTAAAACAGATTTACAAGAAAAAAACAAACGACCCCATTCGAAAGTGGGCGAAGGGTATGAACAGACACTTTTCAAAAGAAGACTTGCATAGGACCAATAAATATATTTTAAAATGCTCATTGTCACTGGTCATTAGAGAAATGCAAATCAAAACCACATTGAGATACCATCTCATGCCAGTTAGAATGGCGATCATTAAAAAATCTACAGACAACAGATGCTGGAGAGGATGTGGAGAAATAGGAATGCTTTTACACTGTTGGTTGGAGTGTAAATTAGTTCAACCATTGTGGAAGACAGTGTGGCAATTCCTCACAAATCTAGAAATAGAAATTCCATTTGGCCCAGCAGTCCTGTTACTGGGTATATACCCAAAGGATCATAAATTGTTCCATTATAAAGACACATGCACACATATATTCATTAAGGCACTGTTTACAATAGCAAAGACCTGGAACCAACCCAAATGCCCATCAATGATAGACTGGACAAGGAAAATGTGGCACATATACACCACAGAATACTATGCAGCCATAAAAAACGATAAGTTTGTGTCCTTGGCAGGGACATGGATGAATCTGGAAACCTTCATTCTCAGCAAACTGACACAAGAACAGAAAATCAAACATTGCATGTTCTCACTCATAGGTGGATGATGAACAATGAGAACACATGGACACAGGAAGGGGATCATCACACACTGGGGTCTGTTGGGGGGGCTAGGAGAGGGACAGTGGGGTTGGGGAGGGATAACAGGGGGAGAAATGACAGATATAGGTGACAGGGGGATGGAGTCAGCAAACCACCTTGCCATGTAAGTACCTATGCAGCAACCCAGCACGATCTGCCCATGTACCCCAGAACCTAAAGTACAATTTAAAAAAAGGAAAAAGTATATTGATACTGTAATGTAGCCTATTAAGTGTGCAATAGTATTATATCTTTAAAAAATGTACACACCTAGGCTGGGTGAGGTGGCTCACACCTGTAATCCCAGCACTTTTGGAGGCCAAGGAGGGTGGATCATGAGGTCTGGAGTTCAAGACCAGCCTGGCCAAGATGGTGAAACCCTGTCTCTACTAAAAATACAAAAATTAGCCGGGCATGGCAGCATGTGCCTGTAGTCCCAGCTACTCGGGAGGCTGAGGCAGAGAAATGCTTGAACCTGGGAGGCAGAGGTTGCAGTGAGCCAAGATCACTCCACTGCACTCTAGCCTGGGCAACAGAGCAAGACTCCAACTCAAAAAAAAAAATGTACATACCTTAATTTAAAAATACTTTATTGCTAAAATATGCTAACAATCATCTGAGCCTTCAGTGAGTTGTAATCTTTTTGCTGGTGGTGGGTCTTCCCTCAATGTTGATGGCTACTGACTAATCAGGATGGTGGTTGCTTAAGGGTGAAGTGGCTAAACAACAGAAAAGTGACATTTGCTGTATCAATTGACTTTTCCTTTCACAAAAGATGATTCTGTAAGCATGTCATGGTGTTTGATAGCATTTTACCTACAGTTGAACTTTCAAAATTGGAATCTCTTGTGTCAAACCATGCCCCTACTTTATCAATTAAGTTTATGGAATATTCAAAATCCTTTGTTGTCATTTGACAATGTTCACAACATCTTCACCAACAGTAAATTCCACCTCAAGAAACAACTTTCTTTCCATGTTTAACGCCTGGCTGGCAAAAAATGAAAATGAAAAAGAAACCACTTTGCTTATCCATAAGAAGCAACTCTTCATTTGTTCAAGTTGGATCATGAGATTGCAGCAATTCAGTCACATGTTCAGGCTCTACCTCTAATTCTAGTTCTCTTGCTGTTTCCAGCACACCTGACATTACATGGAAGTCCTGAACCCCTCAAAATCATCCATAAGTTTAGGAATCAACTTTTTCCAAACTCCTGTTAATGTTGTTATTTTGACCTCTTCGCATGAATTGCAAATGTTCTTAATGACATCTAGAATAGTGAATCCTTTCCAGAAAGTTTTCAATTTGCTTTGCCCAAACCATAAGAGAAAACATGATCTATGGCTGCTATAGCCTTATAAATTTATTTCTTAACTAATAAGACTGGAAAGTCAAAATTACTTCCTGATTCATGGGCTGCAGAATAGGTGTGTTTGTAGGCATGAAAACAACATTCATCTCCTTGCACACCTCCATCAAAGCTCTTGAATTGCATTGTTGATGAGCAGTAATATTTTGAAAGGAATTTTTTCTTTCTCAGCTGAAGGTCTCAACTGTGGGCTTAAAATGTTCAGTACAGTATACTGCAAACAGATGGGCTGTCATCCAGGCTTTGTTGTTCTGCTTATAAAGCACAGGCAGAGTAGATTTAGCATAATTCTTAAGGGCGCTAGGATTTTCAGAATGGTAAATGTGCACAGGTTTCAACTTCAGGTCAGCAGTTGCATAAGTCTCTAACAAGAGTCAACCTGTCCTTCATAGCTTTGAAGCTAGGCATTGACTTTTCCTCTCTAGCTATGAAAGTCTAGATGGCATGTTCCTTCAATAGAAGGCTGTTCTATCTACCTTGAAAATCTGCTGTTTAGTGTGGTCACCTTCATCAATGATCTTAGCTAGATCTTTTGGATAACTTACTGGAGCTTCTACATCACCACTTGCTGTTTCACCTTGCCCTTTTATGTTATGGAGATGGCTTCTTTCCTTAAACCTTTAAACTCTTCTTCTGCAACTTCCTCACTTTTCACAGCCTTCATAGAATTGAAGAGAAGTAGGACCTTGCTCTGGATTAGGGTCTGGCTTAAGGGAATGTTGTGGCTGGTTTGATCTTCTATTCAGAACACACAAACTTCCTCCACATCAACAATAAGACCATCTTTCAGTTTTGGGGTTTTTGTGGGGCAGGGGGTTGAGGCAGGGTCTCATTTTGTCACCCAGGCTGGAAGGTAGTGGATGGTTCACTGCAGCCTCGACCTCCTGGGCTCAAATGATCCTCTCACCTTAGCCTCCCCCAAGTAGCTGGGACTACAGGCATGCACCACCACCTGGCTAATTTTCATATTTTTTGTAGAGACAGGGTCTTATCATGTTGCCCAGGCTAGTCTCAAACTCCCGGACTCAAGCGATTTGCCCGCCTGGGCCTCCCACAGTCCTGGGGTTATAGGTGTGAGTCACCGTTCCCAGGCTTGTTTTACTATCTTATCATTCACATGTTCACTGGAGTAACACTTCTAATATCCTTCAAGAACTTTTCTTTGTACTCATAACTTGGTTAACAGTTTGGCACAAGAGGTCTAGCTTTTGTCTGTCTTGGCTTTCAACATGCCTTCCTCACTAAGCTTAATCACTTATAGCTCTTTATTTAAAATGAAAGATGAGACTCTTTCTTTTACTTGTACATTTAGAGGCCATTGTAGGGTTATCAATTAGCCCAATTTCAATATTCTTGTGTCTCAGGGAGTAAGGAGGCCAAAGAGAGAGCAAGAGATGGGGGAATGGCTGGTCAGTGAACCAGTCAGAACACACAACATTCACCGATTAAGTTTGTGATCTTATGGGGGCGTGGTTCATGGCATCCAAAAAGATTATGAAAGTAATATCAAAGATCATGGTCGCAGATTGCCATAACAAAGCTGTAATAAATTTTTAAATTGAAATATTGCGAGAATTACCAAAATGTAATAGACGTGAAAAAGGCACATGTTGGGAAAATGGTGCTAACAGACTTGCTCCACACAGAGTTGCCACAAACCATCTATTTGTAAAGAATGAAATAACTGCAAAAAGCAACAAAGCAAAGTGCAGTAAAATGAGTTATCCCTGCATGCTAAGACCATTGAATTGTATACTTTAACTGGGTGAATTGTACAGGCATGTGAATTACATTCAATAAAGCTGTTCCTTTTAAAAACTGTTTTGGATGTGTACACAAGGACAAAGAGAGTGGAATGATGACAATGGAGACTCAGAAGGCAGAGTGGGTGGGCAGCAGGTGGATGATGAGAAATTAATGGGTACAATGCAAATTATTCATACATTGACTTCTCCTCTCTAGCTGTAAAAGCCCTAGATGGATACCCTAAAAGCCCTGACTCCACCACTGTACAATCTACATACGTAACAAAATTGCACATGTACCTCATAAATTTATACACATACATAAATAAATTTTGTTGCTAAAAATTGTTTTAACTCTTCAGAGCATCTCTATTCTAATACTTTTACCTTTTCTACTATTGCTCTTAATGTTAAATATTAACATAATTGTCATTTTAAATGTATTATAACTTCTGGTGGGATAATTTTTTGAAATATTCTTTGATATTCTTCTTAAATTAGTTTCCAGAAGAACTTCAGTATCAAGCTGTCCATATGTTCAGACACAGACTTTTACTAAACCAAGAGAATTAAATATAATGATGTATTAAAATGGCAGATTAATATTACTCTTCCCATCAAGAAACAGGAAAAGTCTGTAATTTATTTATTATATTATTGATTATGAAAGTAGTTTATAAAATTATGCATTTTGTACCACAGGAATAGAGTTCATTTTCTCATTGAATTATCAGCTGTTCCATTAATGTCTGTGTAATTATCTTATAACTCATATTTAATCAGTTCTCTATTGCTGGAGTTAGACTCCAGTCCTTTACTATTACCAATGGTACTGGAAAACAAATGTCCTTGCATTTATATTTTTTTCTGCATTCCCAAAATACATGTCCATAGCCTTCCAAGAAAAGAAAAAAAGATGAGTTAATGCAGCTTGCTGTTTTAACTGGCTTTCTAAAGAAATTCTCATGTTACTTAACTCTTGTTAAACATTTTAGAAACTGTGTGTTAGGATTCGAATATACTTTGATTCCACCTCTTTTTTTTTTTTTTTTTTTTTTTTAATGGAGATGGAGTCTCACTCTGTCACACAGGCTGGAGTGCAGTGGCACAATCTCAGCTCACTGCAACCTCCACCTCCCAGGTCCAAGCAATTCTCCTGCCTCATCCTCTCAAGTAGCTGGGATTACAGGTGCACGCCACCACACCCAGGTAATTTTTCCATTTTTAGTAGAAACGGGGTTTCACCATGTTGGCCAGGCTGGCCTCAAACTCCTGACCTCAAGCGATCCACCCACCTCAGCCTCCCAAAGTGCTGAGATTACAGGCGTGAGCCACCATGCCCAGCAGCACATTTTAATGTCAGTTTTTGCCTGCCGTTTTCATTTTGTTAGATTTTAGTTTGCCACACTATTGAACTTTAATTGAAATAATGCTCTTCTTTACCCCACAATGCTGAGAATCATGACTACTTATATAGTCACCCCACTTTATTAATTTATATCTTATAAGTACTCTAGGATAAGTATATTATAAAATTTAATGCACAAGATCTATAAAATTACATTAAGAATATTTTTTTAAACTTGCTATTTCATCACTGTCATTATCTGGAAACCTAAATCTGATTTCTGATAATCTCACTTTTTTTTCTCCATTTCCAATCTTTTCTTTGGTTTGCAAGTCAATATTTTAATTCTATCAAGAATCAACATATTAACAAATTTTCCCTCAATGCCATGAAACATAACTGCAGGGATATATTTCTCTTTCTTCTTTTTCTCTTGAGATGGAGCCTGGTTCTGTTTCCCAGGCTGGAGTGCAGTGGCGCAATCTCGGCTCAACGCAACCTCTGCCTCCTGAGTTCAAGCGATTCTCCTGTCTCAGCCTTCCCAGTAGTTGGTACTACAGGCGCATGCCACCACGCCCAGGTAATTTTTATTTTTTGTATTTTTAGTAGAGACAGGGTGTTTCACTGTGTTAGCCAGGATGGTCTCAATCTCCTGACCTCGTGATCTGCCCACCTCAGCCTCCTAAAGTGCTAGGTGAGCCACCGTGCCCAGCCAATTTTTCTTTTACCAAAAAAATTCCTTCAAAAATAATTAGAAAACATAATCTATCTTACCTGCAAATACAGTTTGTCTGCTTTAAATTTACTTTCCAACTTTAGCAATCTCTTTGCCTGTTCTGGTACATCCAACTTCATTTTTATCATGCACTTAGTTTCCCGAACAACTTCCAAAATTTTGGGATCAAAATTAACCAGCAACTTTCCTGTTTCTGGATGTCGAACAAAAAGCGTGGCTTGTAAAGCTACAAATAAATAATGATTGACATTACTCTTTCTGGATTTCCTTTCTGCTTCCAGCTCTGTTTATATTTCTGTCTTGCCCTCTGGACTAACTTCTCGAGGGCAAAGGAAACATTTTGGATACCCCAGGTGCTAAGGCACAGTGTCTGGCACATACTGAGTACTCAAAACTTAGATAAATGAATGAAGAGTGTCTGCAAAGCCATAAAATCAGATCCAGGGAGAGAAAAATTGACCAAGAATGGTGCTTTGTGCTGTGAACTGCAATATTTTTCTGAATGGGCCAAAGAGATTTATAACACAATGCTAGTTTATCTTCTGGAATATGACTTGACCCCTGGGAAAGAACCAGAAGGTGGTTAGAATCACAAAAGATGCCACACCTCATTTCAAACCCTTTCCCACCCAGACTCCAAATTGGCTTCTTTAATGAGGTTTATTTAAATTAAATCTCCATCCCGAATTTCTGAAAATTAGGCTCAATATCAGTAAGAAATATTTATTTAACACCATTGAGTTGTGAACTCCCAGAATGGAGGGGAAGATGTTTTATACTATATCTCACATAAACATCATTAATAAAAATAGGCATTTTCAGATATGCATTGTATTATAAATTGAAATACATAAGCCCAAACAGTTCTTACTGGGTAGCCTTCGATTATTTGTTAGCTTAACACAAAGAACTTCTCCAGACATAATAATAAAACACTTATAGACGAGTATGCGCTAGCTTGAATTACATCTTGTATTAACAAACACTGTTAACATGAGAATTTTATCACAATCACAGAATCTTCCAAACCTCACATTGTCTTGTTGAATGTGGCCACATCAACAAAACAATGTGAGGTTTGAAAGAGTTGGTGATTGTGATGAAATTCTCCAGTAAAATAAAATAGTTTGTATATCTCTTTGAAGTTAGTTGACTTTTGCTCATCAAATAAACTCAGTCTTGATATGGCTCTTAATAATGCAGGTTTCATGACAATTTCAACTACAAATGTTACCCAACGCATCTGGAATCTTTTTAAGCTGGGTTAGAAATCACTTATCCTAACAGAAAACGAAGCACTACATGTTCTCCCTCATAAGTAGGAGTTGAACAATGAGAACAGATGGACACAGGGAGGGGAACAGCACACACCAGGGACTGAGGAGGCAAGGGGAGGGAGTGCATTAGGACAAATTTCTAATGCATGCGGGGCTTAAAACCTAGATAACAGGTGGAGAGGTGCAGCAAATCACCATGGTACATGTATACCTATGTAACAAACCTGCACATTCATACATATATCCCAGAAATCCCAGAACTTAAAGTAAAATACAAACAAAGAAGTCACTTGTCCTCCCCCCAAAATTCCAAAAGAACTTTTAAACATTGAAATCTGTCTTTCTTAAAACTGTAATGCACTTGCTTGAAAAGGCAAAAAGGTCAACAAGACAACTAAAACAGACCAATATTGACAGCCGGGAAGTCTGCTCCGGGCATGAAAGATGAGCATTTCATCCTGTGTGAATCACCATCAGAGAAACTCTACAAAGCAACCAACTAAAGGAGGCTGATGCTACGTATCCAATTATTACTACAAGCTCCTATGTGGCTGAGGACAGTCACATCAATAGGGCAAAGGAAGACCTCCAGAACAATTCATTTCAGAAATGAAATGAAAGAAGTTAAAGAATTCTACTGACTGTTTTTCTGGTGAAAAGAAACATGACAAAATTTCACTTCGTATCGAAAGTATGAAAGAATTCTACTTCATATTGTTTATACATAACCACTTCTCCTGGGCATCAATTCACTGTAATGAGTATATTGCACCCAATAGGGGCCAATCAAGGTTCACAAGGGGGAACAAACTCTTCGGAAAACTTGATAAAATTAATATTCATCAAAATTATCTTATCTCTACTTACCGGACATTTTAAAAATATTTTAAGAGCCGTAAGATGCCTGGCACCATTCTTGGCACTGTTAGAAACAGTACAATATAATGGTTATGAGAACGGATTTGGGAGCCAGACTATCTGAATTTGAATCTTGTCTCTGCCATTTACTAGCTGTGTGATCTTGGGCAAGCCACTTAATGTGTCTGTGCCTCAGTTTTCTCATCTGTGAAACAAGGCTAATAATAGATCCTTGTAGGGTTGCTGTTAGGATTAAAGGAATTTGCATAATACCTGTAACGTGCTGAGACAAAGCCTGGCACGCAGTGAGCACTGTATACATGTTAGCTATGACCATTATTCAAAGGATATAAGATGAAACTGACATACAGGGTAAGCTTGGAATGTGTAGGGGAGACAAGATAGATCTATAAAGCAGTAAGGGTATGAGAAAGAGCTACAGATAAAGGGCGTGGAGGACTCTGAAGGAAGAAGACATTATTTTCTGCCAGGAAGCATAAGGAAAGGCTGTATGAAATAGGTGACTGTTGAGCTTGTTTTTGAATATGTTCAGATAAGACAAAGGGCATCAGGGACAGAAAAACCAGAGGGGAAAAAAAATTTTAAGTGCAGAGCATTGTAGAAGCAAAACAGTCTATGCTTCAGTGGTTTAAAGTTCTCTTTTACCCTTTTCCATAGTGTGCGTTTTAAGCTCCTCTCGAAGCTCCTTTGAGAGTGTTGCTCCATAAACAGGCTTCCTTTATAATCCACAGGGTCCTACCGTATAGCACAGCACCCAGAAACAGCTGGCCTGATAAAAGTGGCTTATTAAAGGCTTAACTGTGGTTCCTGTTAGGGACCACACCCTACAGGGCTGGGACACTGTCCTCTAGGATGCAGTATGCTCTTAATCAATGGCCTGTAGATAACTGCTGTGTCTCCAGACAGCAAAAATACATGAGTTGGAACCAAGAGGCAGAAGTAGGAGTGGCTCCTTTCACCATCATTCCAGTAACCCGCCTGCAGAACTTGTCCCTCCTGTGCCTGCAATGCTGTGCTCTGCTGAGGTGGAGATCCTGGTTTGGGAAGGAGAAACCTTTCTACAGGGGACACAGTAAGGGTTCCACCAAGGTCACGGATAAGAGTTTACAGTTGAGATTATGACTAAGAGCTTAAGGTTAAGATGAGAATGAGAAAAGCAGGAATCTGAACTGACCAATCACTGAGTCCACACAAAAACAGCATCTCGGATGGCTGGATGATGGCTAGAACCATCCCGTGTCTCACATTTAACTCTGCCTAAAGCTTTGGCAACACGTAAATCCTCCCCTCAGAGGCACTCAGACACAGTGCACTAAAACTCTTCACTCCCTGGAGCTCAAATCTGAAATTAAATTCAGTTATTAAAAAAGAGAGAAAAGAAAGGAGGGACACAGGAAGGAAGGGAAGCAGGGAGAGAGGAAGGAAAGCAGGATACAATTTTTTCTCCCCAGAATGGGACTGAGATTTGAATCTATAACATGATACAACTAAATATGAACACCTTCATAAACAATGGAGAAATATCCCTAAAGATATTTTTACTTTCAAATACTGTTTTTCAGTGGAAAGTCATAAGTTAAGTATGTCAACTTCAAGGTCATGATTATTTTCACTTATAAAATCAGCATATTATTAACAACTGTAAACAAACCACTGTAGCATCCCTAAATCTAAATTGTAACTATGCTAAGATTATGTGGAAGGGATGGAAAAAGTTCTCCAGAACTATGAGCTCCTTGAAAATCACCTAATCCCTACTTTGTAGGTTCACTGCAGTCTTATACACACCATAATGTAACTGTGAAATCTCTCTGATCCAGGCTGTGTGATAGACCACTTCGAATTCCACCAGCACATACGAGATCTTGTTATACTGACGGATGACAGCTTTACCTTCTGGACTTGACAAAATGTCTGAGTTTTTCTGTTTTTTAAGGGAAAAGAAAGATTTACTTTAAAAGATTGCTTAATTTTTTTTCTATCCAAATAATGAAAGTATTTATATGTAAAATGATATCACATAATTATGCTACCAGGTAAGATTCTGCCTCAGAGTAAAACAGAGATGGGGAAGGCCATATCAGCAAGAGGCAGAAAACATTATCAGCATATAGAGGGAAGACTGGAAAAGGAAAGAAAAGTTTAAAAAGAGAGGTCTCGAGCCCCACAGCCTGCCCCAGGCGTTCAGAGTCTCTACCTCCTTTTCTAATCCCATCCCACTGTTCAGGGCAAGATATAAGTGACTGATGTTCCTTGAACCGTGACTATCAGGGCAAATTCCTAAATTCCAGCACACAAAAAAAGGTAGCCATGTATCAAAGGATAAAAGTAAAATTTCTTGGCCAGGTGCAGTGACTTATGCCTGTAATCCCAGCACTTTGGGAGGCCAAGGTGGATGATCACCTGAGGTCAGGAGTTGGAGACCAGCCTGTCCAACATGGTGAAACCCTGTCTCTATTAAAAATACAAAAAAAAATAACCAAGCATGGTGGTGGGTGCCTGTAATCCCAGCTACTCCAGAGGCTGAGGCAGGAGAATTGCTTGAACCCGGGAGGAAGAGGTTGCAGTGAGCTGAGATTGCACCACTGCACTCCAACCTGGGCAACACGAGTGAGACTCTGTCTCAAAATAAAATAAAATAAAATAAATATTTAAAAAATAAATAAAATTTGTATATGTAAAAATCAAAAGATACAGGTTTTGATTCACAGGTCAAATAGGGCAATCTCTGCCCTCCCACTGCAAAGTCAATTAGCGACTAAGTCCCCCGAGTAGGGACTCAGGATTTTAATTTTTCTTGACTATTCAGAACAATGACATAAATGATGGCAGCAAAAGAGAAATAACAGAATCTTCGTATTTAATAATGCTTAAATAATATAATTACTTGCAAAACTACTGTTCTGTAGTTACTTTGTTCCATATCTAGGCAAAAGACACAAGATCAAGCAAACCAACTTCACCTTGCAACTCTGTCTCTTAAATAAAATTTAAGAAAATAACAAGGACAAAGAAAAGACAAACTGGCAGTTTCAGAATGCCAACAGGGCCCAAGACTGTCCTGTTTTTCAGAAATCTAATAATCTCAAGGACATAGAGAATGAATCAACTGTATTATACTTCGCTCTCAGTGGCAGTTCTTCATACAGGAATACATTCTTTGGGTTTATCTTCACCTTCATTGCATATATATCAGTGACCTATCTGCCCATACACAGAAGTAAGCTTCCATGCTATGCCCATACTTTATTGTGTTTTCAGATTCTTTATTTTTATTTTTAAAAGGTTTTTACAAAGTGTCCTGTGTTATTAAAAGACGTAAAGTTTTAAGATTCACTGACTTTGAGATAACTGTAATTAGACTGGCTTCTCTACTGAACCTGAAAGAATTGACTTTGTCTCTCTCAAGTATATTTATGCACTAAATTTTCCTTGCCTGGTAAAAGAATTGGTTCTTTGTTGGCTACTTTAGTGGACACAAATAATATAGGAGAAAATACATTTGTTATATTAAAACCACCAAAATCCTCATACTAAAATTTAATTATTGGCTTACAAAGAAATAATCGATGGGCTCACTTATCCGGCGGTAGAGCTGCCTCACCCAGAGGATTTTCCCTGCTATAGGGGGCATGTTGCGAGCAAGAGGGGGGTCATCTTTCTGAGAATGATAAAGCTGTAATTAAAAATCTGGCGTTAATGTTTGAATTCAATACAAGGGAGAAGGCAAAATATATATACAGCTATATGTGTATTGTTTTACCATTATTCATGTTTTATATACAGTAAGTAATAAATATGTAAATGTACATCAGAGATAAACTGCAACTTTGAAACAATGATGTTGATCATATATGACACTTAATTTTCTCTTCACCTTTATTTCCTATTACATGTATTTTTTTTTTCTGCCCTTATCCCAAATTTCAAGGAGGTATTCAAAAGGAGCACATAGCTACATAATATTAATATCTGTCCTAATAGTATCTAAAGCCCATATTTCTAGAGGCAAAAAAACTAACTTAAATGGGCTTTGCTATACTCACACCAGAAAAGAGTGGCAATAAGACAGTTTTTTTAACTTTTATTTTAAGTTCAGGAGTACATGTTTTTGTTTGTTTGTTATATAGGTAAACTCATGTCATGGGGATTTGTTGTACTGATTTTTTCATCACCCAGGTGTTAAGCCTAGTGTCCATTGGTGTTTTTCCTGATCCTCTCCCTTCTCCCGCCCTCCAATAGGCCCCGGTGTCTGTTGTTCCCTTCTTTGTGTCCATGTGTACTCAATGTTTAGCTCCCACTTATAAGTAAGAAAATGTGGTATTTGGTTTTCGTCTCCTGCATTAGCTGGTTTAGGATAATAGCCTCCAGCTTCCTCCATGTTCCTGAAAAGGACATGATCTCGTTCTTGTTCTGGCTGGATAATATTCCATGGTGTATATGTATCACTTTTTCTTTATCCAGTCTACCACTCATGGGCATTTGGGTTGATACCATGTCTCTGCTATTGTGCATAGTGCTGCAGTGAACATACGCATGCATGCGTCTTTATGACAGAACTATTTATATTCTTTTGGATACATACTTAGTAATAACAAAAACAAGCAATGAGGAAAGGACTTCCTATTCAATAAATGATGGTGGGATAACCGGCAAGACAGTTCAGAGCAAAGAGGTGTAAATGTGGTTGTCCAGCAATATACACTGTCAAGCACCTTCCCACACAGAAGGGAGCATCAGCGCTCCTTAGCAGTGAAATAATCACTCTGAAAAGCTTGGCACGAGACAATGATGGCAAATACTTTCAGAATTTTTTTCTTTTTATTTTATTTATGAACATGACACTTACCTTCTTGATAGCATCAAGTTCGGCCACATAGTACTGAAGAATAAGCTCAATTGTGTGGTTTATTTCCAATTGAAGACAGGGAATCTTCAGCTTCTGAAATCTAAAAGTTATTGAAGCTGAATAATTAAAAACTAAATGAGAAATATACTTAAGAATTGCTGTCATAATAAACATCCATTTACTCATTTGACATATATTCATATCATGCATTGTCCTAGGATAAAGCAATGAACAAGACTGGAGGTTCAGTCCCAGCTGTGGAAAAGAGACATCTGCATGAGTTACAAAAATAATTACTTAAATTACAAATGAATCAAAAATGCCTATAACAGGGAGACGTAGACAAATCTGGGGATTCAAATAAGACACCCTGAGAAAATGACAAACAGATTACAAGATGAGTGAGGAGATAACCTAGTGAAGATGGAAGAGAATACATTGACTGTCCCTCTGCCAGTGATAATGCTCACATAATTCCAAATAGCCATAATCATAATTACGACTTTGTCAGCCAAATGTCACTTCCACTCAGAGACTGAATGACACACAGGAAATACTAAAAACTGCAACATTCAGGTAATAAAATCAGTGGAAACCAGCATGCTACAGGTAAAAAGAGAGAGACAAAGACAGAAAGAGACAGAGAGAGAGAGAGAGAGAGAGAGAGCCAGAGCCAGAAGTCGCCAAGAAAATGGTACCTGCCATCTATGCAGTACTGTCACATGTCAATATCAAGTTATTTCTGTTTTGACTTTATTTACAAAGATCTTACCAGGTCTCCATCATTACAGTCGTGGAATTATGCAAAGCCAGACCCAAACCCAGTTCTGCTGGCTCTCAGGGAAGAGTTCCACCAGTGTCCCTGACACGGGTCTTGACCCCTCTCAGTGCTGAAAGGGAAAGGCTTCTAGTCCAGCTCAGCCCTCTGATCTGGGATTCCCCACCCTTGGAGAGAGTAGTGCTGTTAGCATAGAGGGGAAAGAAGCTAAAGGAGGGTAGATTCCAGGTGATCATACCACAAAAAATGTGGGGGAAAGATAACTGGATGAGATGATGAATGTGTTATTTGAATTGGTTGTAGTAACCATTTCACTACATATATAAAAATATCATGTCGTACACCTTAAATATACACAATTTTTTTAAGGTGTGGGAGCCCTCAGGAGGGAAAATAGAAAGTTTTGTTATCTATTACTCTTAGATAATCTCACTTTTAGAAATTCTTTCAGCATGTAGAAGTAAACATTATTTGTTCCCTTTCCAAGAATACCTATAAAATTAACCGCAAACATATTACATGGCTGGGGGCAGGGAGGGGAAACGAAATAATTTCATTTTCTTACCAAAAGACTTTCGGCTACCAAAAAAAAAAAATGCAATTAAAACATATCATTCTTTATTTCAAATTTTTATCAGTCTATTTAGTGATAATTGAAAGGTTTCTGTTTGTAGGTTTTAAAGTTTATGTAGGAGAGATTTCCAACATCTTAATTTGAAATTGTATTTTCAGACTTAAAGTTATCCCACCTAGAAACTACACTGTTTAAAGTGTTATGAATACCTTTGAAGCAGCTGAAGAGCTTGCTGAGAAGATAAGATTTTCCCAAAAGTACTGTTCATAAATGCCTGTATTTGTACCTAAAATGAAATATTAATATTAAAATGATTTTTGGTCTTAAACAGATTTTTTTTAACAACAATTAATGACTTTCCTACAGAATTAAGATAGCCTCAAGCTTCAAACACATCCACCATCTACCCATCGAGAGCTTCATTGTCCAGTATGATGGCCTTCGGCCACCTGAAATGTCACTACTTAGAAGCAAGATGTCTGTAAATGTAAAATCATGCCAGATTTCAAAGACTTAGTACAAAAAAGAGAATGCAATATATCTCATTAATGATTTTATATTAATGACATGTTAAAATATTTAATATAGTGGGTTGAATAGAGTCCTTATTAAAATTTAATTTCACCTGCTTCTTTTTACTTTTATTCATGTGGCTACTAGAAAAATTAAAGTGACATATGTGGTTTCCCTTTGCAGTTCATTATCAATTGGATATTTCTGATCTAGAGAATTTATGAAAGGAGTGAAGGTCCCTTACGGGCATTTTTCTTTGGGGATATATAGAACGCCTGGTAGAGTAGTGTAATGACACTGTAGACACCAGGGTGAGCAGGTGTCATTTTCTAACACTGCTGCTCTCAGAAATCTCTGTGCTGCTATTAAGGAGGTAGAGAAGTAGAAAATGTTCTTTCAAGAGTCCCACCACTAGCTGGGAGTGGTGGTTCATGCCTGTAGTCTCAGCACTTTTGAGGGACAAGATGGGAGGATCGCTTGGGGCCAGGAGATCAAGACCAGCCTGGGCAACATAGCAAGACCCCATTCGCTATAAAAATGAAAATAAATAAATATTCCCACCATCCCTAGCAGTGAACTCCAAACTCCTGGTACCCAAAAGATGGAACTAAATCATTCTTTGCAAATTATTTATATGTGTAGCTCATATTGGTATGGTCTACTACTAATATACACCACACCCATAAATCAAATATTGGAAAAGGAAGGAAAATTAAAACACTAATGCCTAAAGTAAATTATTTAACTATTAAAAGGTTAATATTGCTCTAAATTTACTAAAAGCTAAAATTTGTATCTAAAATAAAGCCTGAATAACATATAATCTTTCTTAATAAATCATAAAAATAATTTAATAGATAGCAAGTTTTTCATAAATTTCCATTGCCATAAAGATTTAATTTTCAAAGCATTTTGGAAGCAAACTCCACCCTACCTAACCAGCCAAACACTAAAAGTAATAACTAAAATATATCTTAGTATCAGAGAATCTAAGTTTCAAAAACTGAAAGGAAATCTATGCCAAAAAACAAAACGTGTTATCGTTACAGTGGTAGAATTTGAGGATATTTCTTAGGCATTTATACTGCCCAGGTAACATATAATGTCGTTTTTAAAGAATTTTTTAAATACATGAGAAAAACATCTGATTTTCCTCACTTTTATGGCAAGGATGTCAGACTCAAAAAGCGAACAGAGTATATTCATATCCCTGCTTGTGTCTCCAGGAAATTCTGCAGCAAAGAGGAGACCATTCACTTGGGCTAAACATAGGTTAACAGTAGTTTCAGTTAACAGTAGAGAGTAACTGAGGTCATATAGCCCAAAAGGTGAGAGAAAAACTTCTTGCAGTCTCATCTGACATGCTTTCTGACTACCCTTCATCCCTCTTGTGTTCCTTAATCTACGGCACACAGGATCTGGGTGTCTCTTCAGAGCTGCCCTCTGTAACTGCAGGAAGAATGCAAGCATAAAGTATAGAGCCACAGGGAGAGTGACCCATTTTCCTAATCTGTTCTCAAATCTCTTCACACTTGATAAAGAATAACATTTACAAATTCTCTCTTGAGCTGGAAAAATGATATTGGCTCCCTGGCACAACAAAAATCGAATACAAATTTTAATATAAATTAAAAATGAGGCCGGCTCAGTGGCTCAAGCCTATAATCCCAGCACTTTGGGAGGCTGAGGTAGGTGGATCGCCTGAGGTTAGGAGTTCAAGACAAGCCTGGCCAACATGGTGAAATCCCATCTCTACTAAAATACAAAAATCAGCTAGGTGCGGTGGTGGGCACCTGTAATCCCAGTTACTTGGGATGCTGAGGCAGAAGAATCACTTGAACTCGGGAGGTGGAGGTGGCAGTGAGCCGAGATCGCTCCATTGCACCACTCCAGCCTGGGCAACATAGTGAGACTCTGTCTCAAAAAAAAAAGAGAAAGAAGCAAAAAGAAAAAAGAATCCTACCTATAAAAGCCCTTTGGGCTTCTAGTTATTCTCTGATGTCCTTTATTGGATATCTTTTAATGGATACCCCATTATTCATTAAAAAAAAAAAAAAACCTTTAGTGGAGTAGTTTAAAAGTTACTCACATTGCAAATATGTTTGATCAATGTGAAAGAGGCACTTAAATAGTAAATATAGAAACACTATATGTGAATATTTACTACTGACTACTTTTCAGTTTTACTAAGTAAAAGCAGGTATAATTACTTACCTCTAAACCATTGATTTTTGTCATGAAATCTAAGAAATCTGTGTCAAATTCTGTCCTTCTTGGATCCAGAATGTCATATTGCTTTTTCTTAACCCCTTGGTATATATTTCGGAATTTTATTGCCATAATATCTATTCCTTCTATGGTAGAATTACTCAAGGATGAATATGTTTGCACAACAGTTATCATTTCTGTAATCTTAAAAAGAGAAATGTTATTTTGTCTTTTTAAATGAAACAGTAGGAAACTTCCTACTTACTTCTTCCTAAGAAATAAGTTCTTAATGAATCATTGATTTAAAACACAAACCATTAAACAGGACCTAGAATAATTTAGCTAAAACCAAACAGAGGAGATAAAACAGAAAACAAATCTCTGTCATCCATCATTATTACTCTTAGACTAAGTTCTATCATATCCAGAGGAAGTTCATCACCTTTTTCAGTTTAATCACCTTGTCTTTCAAGGGTAGTAGGGAACTTGATGAAATAGCTTCATCCTGTGGTCTCTTGAGGATTTTCTGAAAATCATTTCACTGGATTACTGGACTCAACAGCTCTACCATTCTTTTTGGCACTCACTATAGTTCTGATAACTAACATTAGCATATATCCATTTGTGTTCCCTCTTTGACACCTGTGTTCAGGTAAAAGCCTAGACCAAGAAGCCTGAATAATGGCAGCAATTATTCCTGACCCCTAGAGAGACCTGGGAAACCCTCACAATGGACTTTATTTCAGCAACCTACCACTTACTTCACCAAAACAAACAAATAAAAAACTCCTGTCCACAGGCTACTCCTTCCTTAATCTTCATCAGTGAGTCCCCATTTTCACTTCTGCTCCAGAGAACAATACTCAGGGCTCTCCAGTGCTGACCCCTTTGTCCAGTGGCCAGAAAGGGAACAAACATGTTTTCAGAGAATCTTCCAAATACCACACATACCGTCGTGAAGATGACACTACAAATCCACCTACACAGCCAGCAGAATTCCCATCAATCCCTGTGTATGGCAACCCAGAAGAACTATTTTGAAAGCAACTGTTGCTCTTACTCCACTATTTCCATATACTTCCAAAAACTATTATCATCCTAGAAGCCACTCTAAACCTAAAGGAAATATGAGCCCCTGGGATTTACAGCATGCTGCTCATGCTCTATATAAACACAGGAACGATCTGGGTCTCCTCCTAACACATATGCTCCACTCACCTACTTTTAAGGGCAAAAGCAAACTACTGTTGGCTTGCTCTGTGGTTCTAACCTGCTACGACTGTTTCCTTTACCCCTTAACTCACTACTCTACCACCTGGCTCCAACAGCCAGAGACTAGGACAAAATTCCTGTCACTAGCACGTCCTCTATTTTGTTGATGGGTTGGATGAGGGGTCATCTGAGGCAGACATGGTGGTCAGTCTCATGCTTGCCCTTCAAACTTAGCCAGTGTATCCTCTACCCCCATAACACATAGAGCAACATAAAGCCAGTTGTGGGAATCAACAAAGACCATGCTCCTGCTAGTTCGCTGGCCCTGGATCTTTCAATATCTCTATCAATTTTCAATCCCTCAGTTTACCACCAATTTATAGTCTCTCCTCCGGCTCACTAACCTTGTACCCTTTCCAGTTCTTGACTTGCTGTGATCCCTCATCTCAGCGTCACCATAAGTGAAGACCCTACCTCATCTATTTGCTCCAGATCCTCAAATCTCCCCCAGCAATAACAGCTCTCCACCTTTTCTCTTCTCTCCCACAAATGTTCAGAATGAGAAGAAAACAAAACTGAAGGTAGGGCTCTTGGAAACACCAATATTCACCAAAATTTACATGGCAGGAAGAGGAAGAAGCAAAGAGTATTGCACACATTTAATTCTGGCTCTTTAGGACTCAATGCACCATCAAGTCTCTACCTACCATAAAAAGGTGTGTTTCAGGCATCCTAACACTGGCACACTAGAACCTTCTTCACTTACTCCTCAAAGGACCCCAACGTGTCCGTCTAACTCTGAAATCTCAGCTCTCCAACCCCAACCTCAGCCTTGTCTGCCCTTTGACTTTGTCACTTGGTCATGCCGACTTTGAATCTCAGCTTTCCATAATAGGCTGTGACGTAGTGCACCCTTCTGGCTCTCCTCTTCATCTATGTAAGAGTTCACAAGGGTAGTCAAACAGTGGCCCCTTCTGTACCCCATTCATCAGAGGAAGCCCAAATAGGCAGCTCAGTAACCACCTCTTGTGGATTATATAAAATCCCAGACATACTTCAGTGTTAAGTTTGACAGCCCCACCTTCGAGAGCCTGGACACCAATACGCATCAATTATCCAATGAAATAGATGCCAGTAGATCAAGGGGTTCTTAGTACAGAGGACTTGAGATAACCTAGTAATAATCAGGCTGCACTTCAGGTAAGGCCTCTAGGGGGTGCTATCTTAGCTCTGGTTGCCAAATATTTGTGGCTTAAATTGTATTCTTCAAACCAAAGGCAGGGCTTCTCCAGAGACCAGAGTGGGTGCAGCTAATGCAGCTGGTCACTACAGTCCACTTCCTCTAGGGTCAGAGAAATTCCTGGGCTGCTATTTCACAGATGGATGACCGTTCTACTCAGCATTAGACTCACCCCCAAAGATCTTTACCACTAACAAGGTAACCACTAAAGTTTAGTCCTGAAACTACCAATTTCAAAATGGCACCCAAGTTGGCAAGGGTTCTGGCTCCTAGAAAATAAGGGTAACTGAGACCCACCTCCAGATCTATGCTCTAGTGGAGTCAGAACATTAAGCATCTTTGTCCTGACCAATGTGGCCTATTTATTAATTTGACTTGTGCTAATAGCCTTCTAATTAAACATTTGACCCCCCAAAAAAATCCCTATTGGCTGAGCACAGTGGCTCATGCCTGTAATTCCAGCACTTTGGGAAGTCAAAGCAGGAGGATTGCTTGAGGCCAGGAGTTCAAGACCAGCTCATCAACATAGCAAGACCCCATCTCTTCCAGAAAAAAAAAAAAAAAAAGTTTAATTAGCCAGGCCTGGTGGTACATGCCTGTAGTCCCAGTTACTCAGGGGGCTGAGGAGTTCACGGCTACAGTGAGCTATGATCATGCCACTAAACACCAGCCTGAGTAATACAACAAGACCTCATCTCAATTTTTTTAATTTAAAAAATAAAAATAAAATGTTAAAAAAAAATCTATTGCTCGTAAAACAGCCCCATACAATAATTTTTTAGATACGACATCAGAAACACAGGAAAACAAAATAAAAATGTGATAAATTGAACTTCATTAAAATTTAAAACCATTGTACTTCAAAGGACACCATAAAGAAAGGGAAAAGATAACCCAAAAATAAGAGAAAATACTCATAAATCAGATATCTAATAAGGAAGTCATACCCAGAATATATAAAGAACTCCTACAACTCAACAACAAAAAGACAAATAACTCAGTTAAATCTATACAAAGAATTTGAATAGATGTTTTTTCAAAGAAGATATACAAATGGGCAATAGCTCATGAAAAGATGCTCCACATCATTAGCCATCAGGGAAATGCAAATCAAAACCTTAACGAGATACCACTTCACACCCAGTAGTATGGCTAAATTCAAAACGACAGGTAATAACAAGTGTTGGCAAGTATGTGAAGAAATCATAAACCTCATATTTTGCTGATTCGAATGTAAAATGATGTAGCTACTCTGATAAATAGGGTTATCATCAAAAAGTTAAACATGGAGTTGCCATATGACCCAGCAATTCTGCTGCATATATACCCAAGAGAAATGACAACATATGCCCACACAAACTCTTGTACACAAACGTTCATTGCAACATTATTCATAATATCCAAAAAGAGGAAACAATCCTAATGTCCATCAACTGACGAGTAGAAAAATAAACTGTGATAGTATCCATGCAATGGAATATTATCCAATGATGAATGGAATGAAGTTCTGAAAAATGGTATAACATAGATGAGCTTTGAAAACATTATGCTAAGTGAAAGTAGCCACAAAAGACCACATATTGTATGATTCCGTTTATATAAAGTGTCCAGAATAAGCACATCTATAGAGACATAAAGTAGATCAGTGGTTGTTTAAAACTGGGGAGAGGAGAGAATGGGGTGTGACTGCTAATGGGCGTAGGGTTTCTTTTAGTGGGAATGAAAATGTTCTAAAATTAGATTGTGGTAGGGATTGCACAGCCCTGTGAATATACTAGGAAATACTGACTTGTACACTTTAAGTGGGTAAATAGTATAGTATGTGGATTATGTCTCAGTAAAGCTGTTAAAGAAACAAATTAAAAAAAAAACAGCACCAAAGAAGTATGTATGAAGAACTCCAGTCAGCAACTTGGTTCTCTTTATTACCCATACTTTCCTGTCCTGGCTGGACCAGAAAGTTACTAATAAAAACAGGCTTCCAAACATGTCTAGGAAATGCTCTTCAACCTATGTAATGCCCTGCACTACTTTTCAACAAATGATGAACAAGATTCTAAATACTAGCAGGATCCAAGGAACTGACGAAGTTGGGGGAGGAATACCTAGATGATATCTTTATAGACTTGTCAAAGGATGACTCCAAGAAGTCTCCGGTATGGGCTGGGCCTATCTCCCCAAAAAAAAATCACTCCTTCCCAACCAGTCCTAATAAAGGAATCAAACCCACGTCTGTCCAACAAAGCTATCACCCACACGATATTTATATATACACCACATACACTGTCTCAGAAAGAGGATGTGCTTATACATCCAGATATTCTACAACTACTGAGTTCTACCAGGCATTGCAGTATTTCATCTCATACTTTTTCTCAGCCTAATATAATGGTTAAGAGCAGAGCCTTTTAAGTTCAAGTTCCATAGGTAGAGGTAAATTGAGGTCTTAAGAGACGTGAAAGTTGGCCATACCTTTTGTGTTACTGGCAGAAGGCAGTAACCAGGAATGTAAAAAATTAGTTATAATAAAATGCAGTGATCTGTGAGTAATTTAGATGACTCATAACAATAGTGAGACAAGAGATCGGGAACAATAATTCTCAGTGGTACTATATAAAGTACAAAAACACCGAAACGGTGTGGTGTGGAGTAGGGTACTATGACTGCATAATGCTTACCTTCTCCAGTCTTTTACAAAAAGCTTCAAATTTTCCAAATATATACATTTCTGAAACTTCAAAAGATTTTTCCCCTGAGGAGTCTAAAATCTGTCTCCTTGTTTTGTGAAAAGATGTCTGATATTCCTTAAACAGAAAAATGCAGTCCTATGAGAAAAGTAAAAGAAGCAGGGACAAAAAGGTGAGACATTTGTTCAGGAATTGAAAATTCAAAAACTCTACCATTACACAGAACTGATCAAACTGTGAAAATCTGTACAGTTTTTTTAAATTTATAACGTATTTTCATCCTCATTTTAACCTCACTTTTCTTCATCCTCTCTGTTTTCCTTTAAATCTTATCCTACATCAAAGCATACCATATACTGTTTTGTTTTATTTTGTTTTGTTTTGCTTTGTTTTTTTTGAGATGGAGTCTCGGTCTGTCACCCAGGCTGGAGTGCAGTAGCATGGTCTCAGCTCATTGCAACCTCCGCCTCCCGTGTTCAAGCGATTCTCCTTCCTCAGCCTCCCCAGTAGCTGGGACTACAGACGTACGCCGCCACGCCCATCTAATTTTCTGTATTTTTAGTAGCGAAGGAATTTCACCATGTTGGGCAGTATGGGCTTGATCTCCTGACCTTGTGATCTGCCCGCCTTGGCCTCCCAAAGTGCTGGGATTACAGGCGTGAGCCACCACGCTTGGCCTACTATTTGTTTTTACATTTTCATGACTAATTAGAACTCCCAAGAGGTCCAGAAATAATCTATCAAGACACCTCTGTTCGGTTTGCATCCATCTTTGAATCAGCATTCTTTATGCACAGGTGTATAGAATATGAAGTTTCTGTCATACAGAGCTATCATCTGACAATCATTTTGCCAAAAGAAGATCCTGAATTCTTTGATGAGTACATTGCTGAAATCCAAATATTTGACTACAGATGTACTATACTGGTCTGGTTTATGAATGTAATAGAATTTAAAAAGAGAATATAGTTACTGGGCACAGTAGGAATTAACTATCATGTCAAGCTAACATTTCCTAAACACCAAATCTTTTTTTTAATGTTAAACTTTTTTGAAACCATCAATCAATAGCCAGTCAAATGGTTCTGACTCTTCTGTCTCTCTCTTGCCCATATAAGGAGACTTAAACATTGGGCTCACTTGGGTAATTCCCATATCAGCTGATCAGCACTTTCATTCCATCTGCAACCTTAATTACCCCTTGCCATATGTAACCTATGGATAGGTTCTAAGGATAAGCACACAGACATCTTTGGGGACCATTATTCTGCCCACCGTAGCCACAAAATCAGAATTTCTGCAAGTGGGACCCAGAAATCTATGTTTTTTCTCCTATAGTAATTCCTATAAATATTCAGATTTGAGAATAACCGGTCTCATTCCCTCCTCTACAAAACAATTATAATTGCTCTCTTTGTGGGCCCTGATTATTTTTCACTCATTCAACAAAAATGAGTTGGCTCTGAATAACAGTTGTTCTCAGATAAGATTCTGAATAACAATTCTCATTGTTTCCTCCAACTCATCCAAAAACTATTCCTAGAAAGTATACACTGAACGTTTTCTGAAAACATTTCAGATGTAATAAAAACATTGAACTAGAATTCAGAAAACCAAGCTTCCATTTCTAATTCAGTCAGTAAATGGCTAGTAATCTTGAGGATCTTAAAAGAATCATGAGACTACATTGCTAAATTCTATGTAAACAGTGATGGTTCCTGACAATTGGCAAATCTGGGGTAATTTCTGACTCCTATTTCCAAAAGTAACAAGAGAAACTCTAGAGGAAAACATGGAATCCTGCAAGTAATAATAAAAACAACAGACATAAGAGACTCATTCAGAACAAGTTGTTTTGACTCTGGGAATGAGGGGAGCAAGAATGATTAGGAAAACAGAAAGAAGATAAATAATATTCATAAATAAGGGGACATGTTATATAGTAAGGCAAAGGTTAGCAAGAGAATATTATGAATATTTAGTCAATAAATTACAAATTTTAGAAAAATTGGGGAAATTCCCCAAGAATATCAACTTAAAAAAACTGAGTCGAAGAAAAAGAAAGTATAGTCAAATAGTTTTTTTAAATAAACAGGCTAGGTGTGGTGGCTTATGACTGTAATCCCAAAACTTTGGGAGGTCAAGGCAGGATGATTGCTTAAGCTCAGAAGTTTGGAACCACCTGAGCAGCACAGCAAAACCTTGTCTCTACAAAAATGCAAAAATTACTTGGGTGTGGTGGCATGCACCTGTGGTCCCAGCTACTTAGGAGGCAGAGGTGGAGGATCTCTTGACCCCAGGATGTCAAGCATGCAGTGAGCTTGATCATGCTACTGCACTAGAGCCTGGGTGACAGAGTGAGACTTGGTCTCAAAACAAACAAGCAAAATAAATAAACAGGAGTATATATGCAAAGCAGATATATGGTAATGAATTCATATCCAGAATATATAAAGAAATCCTACAACTTAATAACAAAAAAAAATTCAAAATGGATAAAGGACCTGAGTAAATATTTTTCCAGAGGTATACAAAGGGCCAATAAGTATATGAAATGATGCTCAGCCATCCCTAGCCACTAGAGAAATGAAAATCAAAACAACAATGAGACATCACTTCCCTCCATACACATTAGGATGGCTTTTGTCAAAATGATAGAAAATAAAAAGTGTTGGCAAGGAAACAAAGAAATGTAAAATGGTACAGCCACTGTGGTAAACTGTTTGGCAGGAACTCAAAAAGTTAAACAGAATTACCATACGATCCAAAAGTTTCCCTTCTAGGTATACACCCAGCAGAATTGAAAGCAGGGACTCAAACAGATATTTACCCACCAGTGTTCATAGCCACATTATTCACAATAGCCAAAAGGTAGTAACAAACCAAATGTGCATCAGCAGAGGAATGGATAAAAATATATGGGCTATGCAAACAATGGAATATTACTCAGCCATGAAAGGGAATGAAATTCTGATGCATGCTACAACACAGATGAAAATATTATGCTAAGTGAAATAAACCAGACAAAAAAGAACAAATATTGTTTAATTCCACCTATATGAGGTACTTAGGCAAATTCATAAAGACAATCAATACAAGTCACTAGGGGCTGGGGCAGAGAGTTTGAGGAATTTTTTTTTTTTTTCCTGAGACAGAGTTTTGCTCTTTGTCGCCCAGGCTGGAGTGCAATGATGTAATCTCGGCTCCCTGCAACCTCTGCCTCCCAGGTTCAAGCGATTCTCCTGCCTCAGCCTCCTGAGTAGCTGGGACTACAGGCACCCACCACCACACCCAGCTAATATTTGTATTTTTAGTAAAGACAGGATTTCACCATGTGGCCCAGGCTGGTCTCGAACTCCTAACCTCAGGTGATCCTGCCCACCTCAGCCTTCCAAAGTGTTGGAATTACAGGTATAAGCCATCTCGCCAAGCCTGAGTTTAGGAAATTATTTAATGGCTACAGAGTTTCAGTTTAGAATGATGAAAAAGTTCTGAAATGGACAGCAGTGATGGCTGCAAAACAATGTGAATGTATTTAATGCTACTGAACTGTATGGTTTAAATGGTAAATTTTATGCTATTTTTATCATAATTAAAAATGTTTAATTATAAAAAAAGAGAAGCAAGAAATTAAAAATCTTCTCACAAAGAATACATCAACTCTACACGAATAACAGATGAGTTCTATCAGACTTGCTTTTTGTTCAGTATTTCCAGTTTATTTTTTTCCAGCTTTATTGAGGCATAATTGACAAAAAAAATTGCATATATTTAAGGTACACAACATGATGTTTTGAAAGATGTATACATTGTGAAATATTTACCAAAATCAAGCTAACTAGCATATCCTCAGCTCACATAGTTACTTTGTGGAGTGGAGGGTGTGAGAACACTTAAGATCTACTGTCTTAGCAAATGTCAAGTATACAATACATGGTGCATGCCTGTAGTCTCAGCTACTAGGGAGGCGGAGGTGGGAGGATGGCTTGAGCCCAGGAGGTGGAGGTTGCATTGAGCTGAGATGGCATCACTGCACTCCAGCCTGGGAAATAGAGGCAGACCTTGTCTCAAAAAACAAAAACAAAACAGTACTGTGAATTATAGTTACCATACAGTACACTAGATCTCCAGAATTTATTTATCCTGCCTAACTGAAAATTTGTACTCTTTCACCAACATCTCATCATTGTGCCATCCCTGCCCAGCCCTGGTAACCACCATTCTACTCTCTGCTTCTAAGAATTTGACTTTTTTAGATTCCACATGTAAGTTTTAAAATGCAGTATTTGGCTTTCTGTTTCTGGCTTATTTCACTTAGCATAATGAAATAAAGTACAGCCACGTTGTCAAAAATGACAATATTTCCTTCTTTGTAAAGACTGATTAATATTCCATTATATATGTATCCATACACACACATACAAACACATACATATACACATACATACCCTGTATACCACATTTTCTTTATCCATTCATGTGTCAACAGGCACTCAGTTTGCTTCCATATCCTGGCTATTGTGAATAATGCTGCAATGAATGTGAGAATGTAGGTATCTCTTTGAGATAGTTATATCATTTTCTTTAAATATGTACCCAGAAATGAGATTGCTGGATCATATGGTAGTTCTATTTTTAATTTTGGGGGGAGCCTCTATACCGTGTTTTATAATGGCTACAGTAATTTACATTCCCACCAAGGGCATGCACATCCTGACTACCAACACTTGTTATCATTTGTCTTTTTTTTTGTAGTAGGCATTCTAACAGGTGTGAGCTGAACTTCAGTGGTTTTAAATTTGCAAAGCTAGAGGCATCACACTGCTTGATTTTATACTGTAGTAATCAAAACAGCACGGTACTGACATTAAAAACAGATACATAGACCAATGAAACAGAATAGAGAACCCAGAAATAAATCCATGCATTATGGTCAATTTGTCTTTGACAAAAGTGCCAAGAACACACAATGAGGAAAGGGGAGTCTCTTCAATAACGGTCGTGGCAAAACCGGATATCCACATGCAAAATAATAAAATTGGACCCTCATTTCACCTGACATGCAAAAGTCAACTTAAAGTGGATTAAAGATGTAAAGATAAGACCTGAAACTGTAAAATTACTAGAAGAAAATGTCAGGGAAAAGCTACTTGGCAATAATTTTTGTGAATGTAACCCCAAAAGTACAGGCAACAAAAGCAAAAATAACAAATGAGATTGTAGATTGGAAGACAGTATTTGCAAACCATATATCCAGTAAGAGTTTTATTCTCAAAATGTAAGGAACTCAAACAACTCAATAGGAAGAAAATAACTAACCTGATTTTAAAATAGGCAAGTAAGGCCGAGCACAGTGGCTCATGCCTGTAATACCAGAACTTTGGAAGGCCGAGGTGAGAGGATCTCTTGAGGTCTGGAGTTCAAGACCAGCCTGGCCAATACGGTGAAACGCTGTCTCTACTAAAAATACAAAAATTAGCTGAGTGTGATGGCAGACGTCTGTAATCCCAGCTACTCAGGAGGCTTGAACCTGAGAGGTGGAGGTTGCAGTGAGCCAAGATTGCACCCCTGCACTCCAGCATAGACAACAGAGCCAGACTTCCATCTCCAAAAAATTATTTTTACATGGGTAAAGGAACTGAAAAGACATTTCTCAAAAGAAAACATACAATGTTTTCTTGTATGTCCAGGAGGCATTCCAGCATCTCCAATTGTCAGTTTTATTTTTTAAGTTCACACGCGACAAAGACGGCCAGTAAGTCATTTCTCATCTCCATTTGCATTCAGCAGTTATTCCTGGGCATTTCATTGCCTTTACCATCTCAACAACTTCCTTGTATCATTTCTTGAGGTCCTCTTTTGTCCTGCCAACCTCTGATCCCTCTATTTTTCCTCATGTTTCAGGTGCATTTGAAGGAGACCTACTTCATGTACTTGAGGGACTATTCCATGTTCTTTTAAAAATTATCCACAATCTTTTTGTCATTTCTTTTTTTATGAGGGTCAAGTTTTTGGAGGCTCGATTTTCTTTGCCAGTAAGTTCTCTTGACTCCAAAAAAAGAATGTACGCCCATATAATTGGTAATAATTTCCCATATTGAATTTGTTCAAGCAGGAAAGGGGCTTATGGTTTTAATTAGTAACTGAAAACCAATCCTCTTCTGACTAATTTTTACTGCCAATTCCACCTTTGACAGTTGATTCCTCTGCATTCTTAGATGCTTGTTACGCACAAGCCTCTCCCACTTCTTCGTCTTTCTCTGTTCTAATTGGCTCATTTATTTCTTCGCTTTTTACCAGAGCAATCATTCCTAGAGTTTTGTAGATGAGGTATTTCACCCAAGTGCTGTAAACTCACTAGTTCAAACCTATCACAAAGTTTTTCCACTTCTTCCACCTTTTTAAACTGCTCCACTTAGTGTCAGAAAAAGTGATTTCAGGTCTTCCTTGAATTTTGAAGGTTTGTCTTCCCCTTTTAATGACTTTTCTGGATATCTTTTTCCCTTCTTTGCCAGAAATGTTTGTTATTCAACTTCCTCTTCTTTCTCCTTAGCTATTCAGGCAGCTTCTAATTCAGCTTGTCTTTGTTTTTCTTTAGCCTCTTGCTTCTTCCATCTTGCTCCTTTCTTGGCTTTCTCTTTTTTCTTATGTTGAGACAGAGTCTTGCTCTGTCACCCAAGCTGGAGTGCAGTGGCGTGATCACGGCTCACCTCACTGCAACCTCAGCCTCCCAAGTCGCTGGGACTACAGGTGCACACCAACACACCTGGCTAATTTTTTGTAGAGACAGGGTTTCATCATGTTGCCCATGCTGGTCTCAAACTCCTGGGCTCAAGCGATCCACTCGCCTTAGTCTCCCAAAGTGCCGGAATCACAGGCATGCACCTGGCCTTGGCTTTTTCTTCTTTGAATTTTTTATCCTTGTATCACAGCTATGTGCATTATTTATCACTAATGTTCTTTTCAATTCATTTCTTCTTTCTTTCTTTGTGCTCTTGTTGCTCTGTTCTCCTTTTCAATCTCTCTCTTGTCATAATATTCTGTTTTTCTTCCATATTTAAATAAAAAAAACTGTCCAAGCATAAAAATTATACCAGAAGGAAGAAAATGATAAATTCATATCACCAGGTTTAGAAGCTTTTTTTTTTTTGGACCATCTGTAATTATTTTTGAATAGTGGGAAAAACACTTCAAAGAAATTATCCCTTGCTTCACTTTTCGAAGGAACTGAGTTACCAAATTAAATGTATGATCTACACAGTTAAATGCTCCTCTTTTCACTGGGTCATACATTTTGTAATTTTCGTGATGCAAGTGAAGTTAATTGTTATTCCTTGCTTATATTGGTTCACTGGCTGCTTTCCCTGATGTTTTAAAGCCACTGCTTTATGAGCTGCTTCAATCTGTCTCTGTGTAGCTTTGTATCTTACATGGCTAAGTCCAAGAACTGCATAATGATCCTGGTTCTTCCAGTCCTTGGGATCAACTGTTTTCAGCATGAGAAACACTAACTGGAATTCTTCCTCTGCTTATCCTCCAGTTCAGAGGTCAGAGCAAGGGTGATAGCAGTGCCCTGTCCAGGATAGCGGTCAGCGCCAGGCCTGCAGGAATAGTGGTTCCCACCCTGGATAGAGGGCACTGGGGCAATTTTCAAATGTGGCCTCCCAGTTCAAGCCACATACCATGGCTCTATGAAGACCAAGGAGCCTGCACACAGGGATGACCAATAACCACTTCCAGATGGAGCCTTCCTGCTGTGGCCATTTCTTTCAAACTTTCAAAAAACAGGCCACTTTAATTTTATACAGACTTTTTCACAAAATAGAAAACAGAGGAATACTTTCCCCTACCCTCCATTCATTCTGAGACATTGATGCCATAAACACAGACAAGGTCAGTATGAGTAACAAAAATTACATGCTCTCTCCCTACCAATACAGCTTCCTAAATCCTAAACAAAATTGTAGCAAACTGAACTTGAGGGTTTTTAAAAAAGATAATTACACCATGACCAAGTTGAGTTTATCCCAGAAACGTTAAGACACTTTTAGAAAGTCTAAAAATGTCATCTATCACATTAACAGACTGAGGAGCAAACTTCTATAAGCATCTCAATAAATATGTGCAGAAGAAAATTTTTCAAAACCCATTCATAACTTAAAAAAATATCTGTTGGTACTAAACTAATCTGATCAAAGATATATTTAAAACTTACAAAAGCATCCAACTAAATGAGGGAAATGTTAGAAACATTGTCTTCTAAACCAGGATCAAAATTAGGATGCCAACTACCACCGTGTCTATTTAAGGATACATGGTAAGCCTAACCAATGCAGAAAAAGGCAAAACAAAATTTAATTATAACAGGGGCTGGAATGAGATGTAAGGGCCGGAGCATATGAAATGGCATACAGGAATCTAACACAGGCAGCCATGTAGAATCTTCATCAGAATTAAATTATACCCTAAAAGAAGCACTAAATATAAAGAGAAATAGATAATAAGAATTGCATTATTTTTCTATTCTCAACACTACTCAGTAGGAAGTTTTTCAGTTAACGTATTTTGTGAATAAACAAAGTAAAATTGGGCAGGATGGGAAAAGATTTAGTTTTTGAGAATAAAGGTACTTCCACAAACCTGAATTTTCTTTAGCACAACTGGTGTTTCCTGATCCCATACATGATTTAATCCTCCATCAGTAATATATGCTTTACATGCTGTCACCATCTGATTAGTTACCTAAAATAAATATAGGTACAAAATAATTATATGTAAAAAGAGAAATAACATTTATGTAAAAATTTCAAATCACAAGCATAAAAATATGATAAAGAATAAACTTATGGGCCAAGTGCAGTGGCTCATGCCTGTACTCCCAGCACTTTGGAAGGTCAAGGTGGGAGGATCACTTGAGCCCAGGAGTTCAAGGCCAGCCTGGGAAAGAGAATGAGACTCTATCTTTAAAAATAAAAAATAATAAAAATAAAATTTAAAAATAACTAGAGAACTTGGAAATTGGAATTTTCATTGTCAAAATTTTAAAAGAAATTCTTTTGATGAACTGACCATCAACTGGTACAAAAATGAAGAGCAAATGAATGAGCCAGAAGAGGGCAAAGATGGAAGAAAACAATTAAAAGAAATGGAAGTTAGATTCAAGGGAAGAGAATAAATTGAATGGGTAGGTGAGTTAGTCCATTTACATTGCTATCAAGGAATACCTGAGAATGGGTAATTTATAAAGAAAAGAGGCTTATTTGGCTGACAGCTCTGTAGGCTGTACACGAAGCCTAGAGCCGGCATCTGCTTCTGATGCCAGCCCCAGAAAGCTTACAGTCATGGTTGAAGGCAAAGTGGGAACTCCTATGAAAGCAAGCAAAAGAGAGAAGCCAGGATCTTTTAAACAATCAGCTGTCACGTGAACTCATTACCACAAGGAAGGCACCAAACCATTCATGAGGGATCCACCCCCATGACCCAGACACTTCCTGCCAGCCCCCATCTCCAACGCTGAGTATCACATTTCAACATGAGATTTGGAAGGGGACAAATATCCAAACCATATCAGTGAGCTAAGAATAATCCAAGGCAAAAGAGGAATGTTTCCCACGAATAAAGAGAAAGGAAATTCTTTGGATCGGGACAACTAAGCAAGTGTAGAACAAGATAAATGTTAAAAAAAAAAAAAAAAAAAAAAGGTGAGATTTTAAAAAATCAAAGATAAAAAAAAAATCCGAAAAACTTCCTGGGAGAATAAAACCAGTTACCTACAAAGGAAACAAGAATCAGATTAGCACCAAGCTTCTCATCAACAATATTGTATACTAGACAATGATTGAGCAATATCTTCAACATCCCAGGAAAAATGATGTTGAATTTAAAATCCAACTCACACTAGCATTTGAGTGATCAGGCAAAATGAAAATGATTTTCAGACATGTAGAAATTCAGGAAGTTCACCAGCCTGAAACCCTCCCTGAAAGAATTTTTTTCGCCAAAAGAAATAATGAATCTAAGAAAGAGAAGGATGTGGGAATTACAAAACAGTGGTGATAAATTAACTAGCAATATTTGGATTTTAGTCGGAATACTTGTTGATTCACAATGTTGAAAAAAATGTTAACAATAATGTGGAACCGTTAAAGAAAAAATTATTCAGTGATACTTGCACAGCAAGGGACTTTATTCAGGACCATTGTGATGGGTGTAGGGACCACTGCAATGGGATCTTGCAGCAGCAAAGAGAGATGGGGCTCAACTGTGAACACAGCATGGGCAAGCAGGAATGTATAGCCAAGGGGCAGGACGGGGATTAGTGGGTGGAAAATTATTAAGAGGAAACATTAGAGGTAAGGAGGGTTTTGGCTAAACTGACCTACAGGATTCTTGCTGAAGATAGGCCAAAGTGATCAGACAACACCTGGGGGATTGACGGGGTTGAAAACCTGATCAGATATCTAGAGTCATCAAGAATGGGGGGTTCTTGTTTAACTGGCTTAGCAGGGTTCTTTGCTCAAACTAGATTTTACTAGAAAGTGAACAGATGGGCCTCCCAGAAGATTCAGAAGCCAAGCAAAGAATCTTCATCAGAACTAAAACTGATCTCAATACAGGTATTGATCGACTTACGACCTATGCAACTTACGACCATTCGACTTTACGACCATAATCGCTAGCCACGACTGCTCTGCGTCTGGCAGCGCAAACGTTGCCCAGCTGGGCGTACAACAGTGCGGATCAGCTTCCAGCAGCACTACCATCTCCGCGTGCATATAGTCTACTCAACTTACGACCAAATCATGTTACAACCAGTCTGTCGGAACCAATCGTGGTCATAAGTCGAGCACTAGATGTATGGGACATATATGGCAAGAATGAGAGAGTCAGGTAAAGAGGAAGGATTCTGAGAGTCTTGTCTTATTTAGGACACAGTGATCAAACCTATACTTTGCTTTATTTAAAAAGTTAAAATGTGACTGTGACTTTAGATATTTAGTTATGCTTGAATAATTTACAAATAAATTCTGTTCATGTGGGTGGTGTGTGTGTGTGTGTGTGTGTGTGTGTGTGTGTGTTTAGACAGGGTCTTACTCTCTTACCAGACTGAAATGCCATGGTATGATCACAGCTCACCGAATTCTTGAACTCCCAGGCTCAAGGGATCCTCCTGCCTCAGACTCTGGAATAGCTGGGACTACAGGCATATACCACCACGCCCAGCTAACATTTAAAAAATTTTTTGTAGAGTCAGGGTCTCACTATGTTGCCCAGGCTGGTCTCAAACTCATGAGCTCCAGCAATTCTCCCACCTCGGCCTCCCAAAGCGCTGGGATTACAGCCTGAGCCACCATGCCTGGCCTCATGTGTTGCTTGAGTATATCTTCAAATTATTTTAAATAATTAGCCGTATGGTGCTACATAGGAAGAGTTTACACCAACTATAGTGCTGATGGGAATAGCTAAAGAAGCACTGTTAATAGTAGACACACTCCTATCTCTTGGGTAGAATCAAACTATTTGAAATGAATAAATTAGAAAACCATCAGGCACATTTTCTTTAAGTATTGGGCCTTACATTTGATAAATAGAAAAGTACCAGTCACTCCCTTCAATTAAGTACTACTGAGTCCAATCAACACCTTTCTCTTCTTGCCCACTAGAAGTATTAAAACTCTAAGAGGTACTCAGGCTTCCCAATTCCCTTCCTAGAGCTCAGAAGGAAAGTCTTAACTTTTTCACAGGATGACATGTAATTTCCTCCCATAGAAACTTACCTTAATAAACAATGAGGTCATTCTCTCTGAGGTATTATAATACTTTGACACACCGTGAATCATTCTGATGGCGTTAATCAAATTTTGTATCCCATGTGCCATGGAAACCTAACATTGAAACACATTAAGTGAATTCCATCATATGCTTATAGGTTTAATAACCAATAGTCTATAGTACTCACAACTCTAAATGTACACAAAATAGTAGAGCATTTTTATCTTAAAGTCAAATTTTACTAAATGCAGTATTCTAGACTAGACCCTGGAACAGAAAATAGGACATTAGTTTTGACAAACAAAGATAATACAAGATGTTAACAGGAGAAACTGGGTGAAAAGAATTCTGCACTATCATTGCAACTTTTCTGTAAATCTGAACTTAAAAGTTTATCTAAAAATTAAATTTTAGAGGTGAGAGCAATTTTAAGGTTAACAGTTTATTCTGCCCTTTTTTAAAGATGAAGAAACTGATACCTTGAGGGGTAAATTGACTTACTTATGGTCAGAAGCCTAGCTAAAATAGAAATCAGACTAGCATTCATTTTCTTTCATGGAATTCAGTTCACCTTTTAGCAATCCTACTAAGTGCCAGTAGGTTCTGAAGATATTGGGAGAAATCCAAACCTATTCCGGAGCAGCTCACAGCAGAGCGGAAGAGATAAACACAAACAAGTAAAACAAGTAGGACAAGGTAGAGCAAAGCATAACAATTACAACAAGGATGTAAAACAATCACTAACGTAAACTGAATGCCTACTATACTCCAGGCTTTAGGCTAAACGCGTTAGCATATTATCCTGACATATGCTGACAACAACCATTTAAGGTAGGTTTGATTACAGCAGATATAAAACATCACTGATTGTAAGACTGCACCGTTGTTTCCTGTGCTATTGAGGAAGAAAAAAGACATCCAAGGTGAGGAATGTAACTCCTCCATACTACTAGACCACCAGTGGGCCCTCCCTGTTAAGGTAAACATGAAATAAACCAACCTTGGAGAAAAAGAGAGAAATAAAATTTACATGCTAGTAGGAGAACGAAGAAAACCAAACTTCTATGAGAATGTAGGCACAGGTACTCAATAGCAGTCTGAATTCATGAATGATACCAAAATCAAAAACAAACAAGCCAACAAAAACACCCTCAAGGAGAGAACTAATAATTTAAGGTAATATCAAGTCACATCCACAATGATTCATTAAACCTGACTGACTAAAGTATGTCCTGAGTTCAGAGACATTAAAATGTGAAAAAATGTCAGGATCTATAAAATAAAGCATTATCATTATTCCCATTTTGCCAATGAGAAAACAGAGAGGTAGAGAAGTTAAGTCCCTTGCCTAAGACCCAACAGCTATAAGTTATGTAGCAGAGATTCTGAGACCCTGCTTGTAACCATAATGCAAATCACTATGGAAGAACAGATAAAGCCAATGGCATCCTTGTCTTCAAGGAACTTTCCTTTTAATTGATGGGACAAGATAAAATATATAAAACGTCTTTTTAATGGTGATAGGAGAAATACAGCCAAGAAAAACAACTACTGATTAGTGTATGATATGTCCTAGGTGTGGGGTGTAACTATGGAATAATTAAATCAATTTTATGTGGCTTATGGAAATTAACATAATTACTTTATAGTTAATGTTGTATGTCAGAATTTATATTGTATATGGTATTTGTAGATCAAAAAAATCCTAATAAAAATATGCCTAGAAAGAGTCCCTTCCACCCTTGCTAAGTCATGTCTACAAAGGACCACTAAACTCCAATAAAGAGGGTTCAGGGATGGCATCAAACGGGTCCTTCAGAAAAATGTCCTTCACCTGAACTTTAAACATCATTATTTATAACAGTAGCTCCTTGAGTGCACTGTTCTTGTCCATCTATATATAATAGTAAGCTATGCCTAAAGCACAATACCAGGGTGATTTAAAAAAAAATGAAACTTACATAAACTTAAGAGTCAGAAATGGAAGCACAAATCCCCTGCACTTTTCCTACCCAAATGACAGTTATAAACTAAACAACAATTGCTGGTTACTTTTAACCAGAATAAAGAAATGAGGGGGAAAAAGGGAATTTTTGAAAGTACAGATATAGTGGGTGTATGAGTGGGAAGCAATGATATGACTCGATACTATTAGCACTCTGTCATTTCAAAAGGTAATGCTTGAAACCTTCCTACGTAAGAAAATATAAAAAGCTCAACGACAACAAAATAACAATAATAAGGCACATCCATGGTTAGGGTAATTGAACAAAGTTTTTAAAAATTACTAGGATGTAAAAAACATCAGAACTAAATGATTTTTAAATTATATGAATTAAAACAAGTCTTTTGAATCAAGAAGTTGAAATCAGTATTCCTTAAAATTTGGAGTCTTGATAGCAATAGAGTATTCTATCTTTCTTTCCAGTTTACTTTTTATGATAAAAAGCTTTAAATATATAGAAAAGTACAGTGAATAGTTTAATGACCAACTATTCTCATCACTAGATTTGACAAATGTGAACATTGTGCTGTATTCACGTCATCTATTATTTTTCACATCAAGAGCTACTTTTGGTAGCCTGGGAGTAGGCTTTAGGTATTATATGTATTTCATATTTGCATCTTAAAATCTGTGAGCAACCCAAAATGTTTGTGACATGTAATAATTTTAAACTTTCTTGGATAGAAATTTTAATTGCTCATATTGTAAAGTTGGGGAATTAAGCCATTGAGCTACCAAGTAAGCCAAGCAATGGCCCTATTTCTCCAACACCATATACTTTGATTTTCTTTACTTGGGGTCATGTGCACAGAAATACCTAAGAAATTATATAAATGTTCTTATATTAAACAAATTTTGCAAAGGTTCCCAACAGAAGTCCAGCTACTAGTAGTAGGGGTAAAAGTGAGAAGAATGAAGTAGAAGAAAGTCATAATTCTGGGTGGGGAGGAAGGGAAAGAGGTGTGAGCTGAAAAATTTCCTGTTGTGTACTGGACTCACCACCTGGGTGACAGGATCCATACCCCAACCTCAGCATCATGTCATGTACCCATGTGACAAACCTGTACATGTACCCCTTGAATCTGAAATAAAGCTGTAATTTTTTTAGAAGTCGTAACTCTTTGCAACTAACACAGATAAGTTTTAAATAAAATCTAGCATCTTTTTGTGGAATCAATTAAAAGATCCTTGCTTCTAAAGCCTTCCTGTCCCCTCTCATGGTACTCCCTGATGGATGATGGATTGCTCATGGCAGTAAGAAATGCACTTGTCCAATACTCTCAACCAACATTTTCCCTCCCCTTCCAAATTAAACTTCTTGACTACCAATGCTCCCTTGGGATGTTTATGAACTGCCTCTACACCTCCTTGTTCTCCAAATCTAAGTGATACAGCCATAACCTCTTTCCTACTCCCTGCCTCTAGAAAGAAACCTGCACTGACCCAAGAAGGGTGGTCAACAAAACTATGTGGCCAGTGCTGCCACCTATATGGAAGATTTGACTACCTCTTCAAAAATTAGAATAGAGAATACTGAACAAAGATATCAGGCACAAATTAAATTAATTTGAAAGCACTGGGCCGAGCATGGTGGTTCACGCCTGTAATCCCAGCACTTTGGGAGGCTGAGGTGGGCGGATCACTTGAGGTCAGCAGTTTGAGACCAGCCTGGGCAACATGGTGAAACCTCGTCTCTACTAAAAATACAAAAGTTTGCCAGGCGAAGTAGCACGCACCTGTAATTCCAGCTACTCAGGAGGCTGAGTCAGGAGAATCGCTTGAACCCAGGAAGCGAAGGTTGCAGTGAGTGGATATCGTGCCACCGCCCTCCAGGCTGGGCGACAGAGAGAGAGTCCGTACCAGGGGTGGCGGGAAGAAGCATTTTAACTTAAAGAATACCTTGAAGAAGCAACGTGGTAAAGTGGAAAAATAATACAGCCCATAATGCTAGAGATAGCTAGATTCAAATTTGGTCCCACCACGGATCATTGTAGAAATGCTCAAACTCAGTTTCCTAATCTTTGAAATGAGGATCAGTGTGCAGACAGAATGAAAACATATGTAAAGCATGTACCACAATGCCTAAAACAAAAGGTCAAGGACTCTCAAGCCTGGAAACATCTTTAAAAATGCAGCTGTCTGGGCAGCCCTCCTGCCTATAAGTGATTTACAAAAGAAGTAACACCCAGGCAAAATGGGGAAATATCGCCCTAAGTTCTCAACAAGTACTAGCTCCCTTGATTTCTCCTTCTGTTAAATAAAGGATAGAGTCTTTTTAATTTTCATATTTTATATGAAATATTATGAAATACCAGATTATTAATTTGATGTTAATATAAACTTTTAAAAAATAAAAGCAAATGGTAGTGCTAACATGTTCTTTAAAGGGTCTCTATGGAAATATAATGAGAAGAGTAGGCTAGAAATTAGAAGATGGGTTCTGTACTGCATCCCTGATTAGCTGAATGATGCTGGCAAAGTCACTACACCGTGATGAGTTTTGGCTTTCTAAACTGTAAACTGGGAATAGGCAGCCCCGAAGATAGCCCCAGTGATGCTCACCCACATGGTACTCACACCCTTGTATACTCCCCCACCTGCCCAGAGTGAACCAGACCCACTTGCTTCTAGCCAGTAGAGTACAATAGAAATAATGGGCTGTCACTTCAGAGATTAGGTTACAAAAAGAAGATGACTTCCAACTTGGGTGTTCTCTCACTCTCTTGCTCACTCTTGGATCACTCACCCCAAGGGAAGCAGGTTGCCAGGGGGGAGGCCCACGTGGCTAAAAACTGGGGCCTGCCAATAACCACATGAGCGAGCTAAGAAAAGGACTCTCCCCAGTCAGCCTCCCCCACTTCAGAAGAGACCACAGCCCCACTTAGCCGGTGGGCAACCTCATGAGAGACCTTGAAACAGAAGTACTTAGCTATGCCTTGCCCAGATTCCTGAACCACAGAAACTCTGACATAATGAATGCTCATTGTTTGTTTCTTTATATATACTTTAAGTTCTGGGGTACATGTGCAGATCTTGCAGGATTGTTACATAGGTTTACCATGCCATGTTGGTTTGCTGCATCCACCAACATTAGGTATTTCTCCTAATGTTATCCCTCCCCTATCTCTCCACCAAGCTATCCCTCCCCTAGCCCTCCACCCCACAATAGACCCCAGTGTGTGATGTTCCCCTCCCTGTGTCCATGTGTTCTCATTGTTCAACACCCACTTATGAGTGAGAACATGAGGTGTTTGGTTTTCTGTTCTTTTGTCAGTTTGCTGAGAATGATGGTTCCCAGATTCATCCATGAAAAAGGATGAGCTCATGTCCCTGCAAAGGACATGAGCTCATCCTTTTTTATGGCTACATAGTATTCTATGGTGTATATGTGCCACATTTTCTTTAACCAGTCTATCCTGATGGGCATTTGGGTTGGTTCTAAGTCATTGCTATTGTAAACAGTGCTGCAATTAACATACATGTGCATGTGTCTTTATAATAGAACAATTTATAATCCTTTGGGTATATACCCAGTAATGGGATTGCTGGGTCAAATAGAATTTCTATTTCTAAGTCCTTGAGGAATCACCACACTGTCTTTCACAATGGTTGCACTAATTTATGCTCTCACCAACAGTAAAAGCATTCCTATTTCTCCACATCCTCTCCAGCATCTGTTGTCTCCTGATTTTTTTTTTTTTCTTGGGACGGAGTTTCGCTCTTGTTACCCAGGCTGGAGTGCAATGGCGCGATCTCGGCTCACCGCAACCTCCGCCTCCTGGGTTCAGGCAATTCTCCTGCCTCAACCTCCTGAGTAGCTGGGATTACAGGCACGTGCCACCATGTCCAGCTAATTTTTTGTATTTTTAGTAGAGACGGGGTTTCACCGTGTTGACCAGGATGGTCTCGATCTCTTGACCTCATGATCCACCCGCCTTGGCCTCCCAAAGTGCTGGGATTACAGGCTTGAGCCACCGCGCCCGGCCCCCTGTCTCCTGATTTTTTAATGATCACCATTCTAACTGGCATGAGATGATATCTCAATGTGGTTTTGATTTGCATTTTTCTAATGACCAGTGATGATGAGCATTTTTTCATGTTTGTTGACCGCATAAATGTCTTCTTTTGAAAAGTGCCTGTTCATAACCTTTGCCCACTTTTTGATGGAGTTGTTTTTTTCTTGTAAATCTGTTTTAGTTCTTTGTAGATTCTGGATATTAGCCCTTTGTCATATGGATAGCTTGCAAAAAATTTTTTCCCATCCTGTTGTTTGCTGGTTCACTCTAATGATTGCTTCTTTTGCTGTGCAGAAACTCTTAAGTTTAATTAGATCCCATTTGTCTATTTTGGCTTTTGTTGCTGTTGCTTTTGGTGTTTCAGTCATGAAGTCCTTGCCTATACCTGTATCCTGAATGGTTTTGCCTAGGTTTTCTTCTAGGGTTTTTATGGTGTTAGGTCTTATGTTTAAATCTTTAATCTATCAGGAGTTAATTTTTGTATAAGTTATAAGGAAGGGGTTCAGTTTCAGCTTTCTGCACATGGCTAGCCAGTTTTCCTGACCCCATTTATTAAACAGGGAATCCTTTCCCCATTGTTTATTTTTGTCAGGTTTGTCAAAGACCAGGTGGTTGCAGATGTGTGGCATTACTTCCAAGGCCTCTGTTCTGTTCCATTGGTCTATATCTCTGTTTTGGTACCAGTACCATGCTGTTTTGATTACTGTAGCCTTGTAATATAGTTTAAAGTCAGGTAGCGTGATGCCTCCAGCTTTGTTCTTTTTTCTTAGGATTGTCTTGGCTATGCGGGCTCTCTTTTGGTTCCATATGAAGTATAAGGTGTTTTTTTCCAGTTCTGTGAAGAAGGTCAATGGTAGCTTGATGGGGTTAGCGTTGAATCTATAAATTACTTTGGGCAGTATGGCCATTTTCATGATATTGATTCTTCCTAACCATGTGAATGCTCATTGTTTTTAAGCCACTCAGTTCTGGGGTAATTTGTTAGGCAGCAAAGGATAAATAATATATTAATATTTGTCTTGCTTAATTCACAAATGAAGGCATACTAATGATATGCTACATATTTAAATATGGGTTAAAATATTAAATATAGTTTATCATTCTTTATAAATATATAATAGGAAAATATATATTTTAAGTAACTTTAGGCAGCATGTTTTCCCAAATATACACATATTAAAGATTTTTAATGCATTAATTATATGAGTCAATTTCTTGAATTGTAATTGTTTTTTTTTTAGAGATGGGGTCTTGCTCTGTCACCCAGGCTGGAATGCAGTGGCAGAGCTCACTGCAGCCTTGTGCTCCTGGGCTCATGCAATCCTTCCACCTCAGCCTTCTGAGTAGCTAGAATTACAGGTGCAAGCCAATGCACTCAGTTTAAAACTGTACTTTAAAGCATACTTACTAGGTCATGGTTATAGAGAGGCTGGCACACTTTTTCCAAAGTATATAAATATCTGACATTATCTTTTGATTCATTTGCTGTATCAGTGATTCTTGCATCCAAATCACGCCAATTCTAAGAAAAAAATGTATAAGAATGCTATGAAACATCCAGCTATATCAGTGTGCTAAAGTTTACTCAAGAAATTCAGTCTTCCCTAATCATTCATATACTAAAATAGTAGACATTCAAGTGTAATTAATATATATTTTTCTTATAATATTTAAGACAAAGTTATTGCAAGCACCTTAAATGATTTACTAAAACTGAAGACTCATTCTGCTTGTAATTAAAATCCTGTCTGTAGGCTTGAACTACACTTGCTTCTACCAGGAATGACTTTTCCAGGTTAATTATTTGTGGCATTATATTACTTTGGGTCTTCAAGAATGGGTCAAGTTATTAAGATAGAACATTATTTAAAAAAAAAAAAACCCTACTAACAAAGTGAAGTCAATCTGAAATCAACACTTTCTTGTAAGTGATCATCAAATATTACCTGCTTAGATAACTGATTATGAGAAATATCTTCCTTTTACTGAGAAGAAAAATCTATCTTCCTGTAATCTCTGCTCATTTGGTGTAGTTTTGTCTAACGGAGCTTCAGCAAACACACAGCATCCCTTCAAATATTTGAAGACATTTACCATATCATCACTAAGTCTTTTTTTTCCCCTTCTTCCTCAATTCAGAAATTACTAAGGCAAATTTTATTCAAAGATGGTCATGCTCGGTCATCTTAGTAATTTAATAGGATTTTTTTTTTTTTTTTTTTTTTTTTTTAACTCTAAGTTCCGGAATACAAGTGCAGAACGTGTAGGTTTGTTACGTAGGTATACACATTCCATGGTGGTTTGTTGCCCCTATCAACCCATCATCTAAGTTTTAAGCCCTGCTTTTATTAGCTATTTGTCCTAATGCTCTCCCTCCCTCACACTACCCCCCGAGAGGCTCCAGCATGTGCTGTTCCTCTCCCTGTGTCCATGTGTTGTCATTGTTCAACTCCCACTTGTGAGTGAGAACATGCAGAGTTTGGCTTTCTGTCCCTGTCTTAGTTTGCTGAGAATGATGGCTTCCAGCTTCATACATGTCACTGCAAAGGACATGATTTCATTCCTTTTTACAGCTTCGTAGTATTCCATGGTGTATATGTACCACATTTTTTTTTATCCAGTCTATCATTGATGGGTATTTGGGTTGGTTCCAAGGACATGGCCTTAATAGCTTCAACCTCTTGGCCTTCCTACTCTGGATGCACAACATCACTCCAAACACATGTACCTCAGAAATGAAAGGAAGCCTTCAGACTGATCTGGCCAATGCTGAGAAGAGCCAAAACATCACCTTCCTTTTTTTCTGAAAATTATACCTCTCATAAAGCAGCCTAGGATCAAGTTGACTCGCATCAGTAATATCATTCTACCAAATGATTCAACTAAAACGGCTAAGTCTTTATCCAAACTTTACTTGATCAATTTCTCTCCTTCAGATTCTTTCAGGATTTTTAACCTATTCTTAATAAACGTTATCTTATTATTAACTGACCACTCTTACATATGAGGGATGCTAAAAGCAAGTGCCTGCTTGAGAATTGGTCAGAGATTAAGAGAACATGGAATGGAGAGGTCTACCAGCAAAAACAGAAATAACATGCTCTGGACAAAACCGTTTAAAAAAATAATGGGAGCCAAGCAGCTTGTCTCCAAACCTATCCAACAAAGAGGCTGGGCTACCAGTATGGCACCCAGACTCTTACCACTGAAGGCCTTCTTGGATCTTACGTTATCATCCAATATATTTCTTTCCCTCCGTCCTCAATGTCATTCATAGATTTGCTACCACATTTGCTTTGCAATCCTTTCTAAAGACTACAGATTAGTATTTTTAACACAAGAGAAAGTCTGAAGGTCACTACGGCAGATCATTAAAGACCTCTCTGCAAGTGTTTAAATTGTGTATCACCTTTGATCCACAAATTCATAAATTCTCTCCTAGGCAAATGCCTTAGAGAAATTCTCACACATGTACACCAAGAGACATGAGCAAGAATATTCACTGAATATTGCTTGCAATAACCCCAAACTAGAAACAATCCAAATGTCCTTTCTGGGGTAATAGATTAAAAAATTGTGGTGCATTCATGCCACAGAATATGATACAAAAATAAAAACAAAGGTAGCAAATGAATAATAATGCATGAAATAACAGGATGCATTCTCACAAATAATGTTGAGTGAAAGTTGGTTGCAGAATATATGATACGATTCCATTTATATACATTTCAAAAATATATAAAACTAAGTATCAAAATGTGGTATTTTGGAAAAAAAATGATATAAGCTTATTTGAAAATATATACCAAAGGATGAAAATACGTGAATTGTTAAGACAAATCTGGAAAAGAAGAACAAAGAGTAGATACAAAAATTAATTATGATTGAAAGAAAATGACAAACAGTGCTGGGAAAATTAGCCAGCCATTTGGGAAAAAGAGGTAAGAGCATGACCTTGTACCCTGCTTCCCCTCTTACTAACTCTGTGACCTTGAGCAAGAAACTTAATCTCTCACTGTTCTATAAACCAAATGCGGAAGAGAATAAGAAGATCCATTTGATCCAGCTGATGTGAGGATTAAATGAAATGTTATAGATAAGATAGTAAACATAATCCTTGGCACATAGTAAGCACACAATAAATGTTAGCTGCTGTTATTATCATTATTATTAAATCTGACATGATTTACACAAATAAATGCCAAGTTAACTGAGGAATAAAGTGCAAAGAAATAAAACCCTAGAAATAGAAGAAAAGGGTAATTCTATTTTAAATTTAGGTTAACCTTGATTTATTCTTCTTAAGAGGGTCTTTTTAAACAATACATGAAGGACAAAAGCAATAAAAGACTGAAAAAAATGTAATTCATCTAAATATAAAAAATTAATTATAAATGATTCCATTTTAATAAATTAAAATACAAGCAATAAATCAGCACATCTAGCATCCAGATTTGGTTTCTAAATACTGCTCTCCAAAAAATGAACCTAGGCTCCTTGGAGAAGTGTTGATCCCAGGACTAGGGCAGGACAAATGCAAAATGAGCCTTGAGCATTTATCTAGTGGTAGAGAGTAAATATGTGCTCCAAGCACAGTAGGGGGATCAGAAGGAAATAGGAGCCAACCTGAAAGATTTCCTGATGGCCAAAGAGGAAACAATTTGAGCAACGAATTAAATAATAATAGTATTCAGCTATAACCCAAACCACGAAATAAATACCTATGAGGCTATATTAATGTAAATAAATGATCAAATACATAACTAAAATGAGAGAAGAGACAACTTTTTCTTACATAAGAATTCTGATTCATAAAAGTGGAAGGAATAAGGAAACTAGAAAACCACCATTAGCATACCACAGTAATAATTGCCACAGTCAAGATTCACCTATGAAACTACTCATGTAGTTTAAAGTTGTCTTCCACAAAATGCAATATGTGTATAGTACAGAGACCTAACAAATCCCAGCCTAAGTAAATTATCCATTTTAGGTCAAAAGTAACAAGGTACATCAGTATAATGTACCCCCGATAAGTCACACTGGGAAGAGCACATCAACTCTGGCGTTCTGACCAAAGATACATAACCTCAATGTATTCACGAGAAACCATCAGACAAACCCAAATTGAAGACATTCTTCTAAATAACTGACCATTACTATTCAAAAGTATCAAGGTCTTGAATTACAAGTATGAACTAAGGAACTGTTATATTGGAGGAGACTAAAGACACATGACAGTCAAATGCAACATAGGATCCTGGATTGGATCCCAGAACAGATCAGAATATATAAGTGGAGGCTGGGCATGGTGGCTCAGGCCTGTAATCCCAGCACTTTGGGAGGCCAAGGCAGGCGGATCACTTGAGGTCAGGAGTTCGAAACCAGCCTGGCCAACATGGTGAAACCCCGTCTCTGTTTAAAAAAAAAAAAAAACCTGGCAAAATATAAATTGTGTGTAGCATCATTAATAGTATTGTACCAATGTTACCACTTCATTTTGATCATTGTACAATAGTTTTAACATGTTAACATTAAGAGAAGCTAGGTGAAGAACAGGCAGGAACTCTCTGTACTATACTGGTTGACTCTTCTATAAGTCTAAAATGATTTCAAGTTTTCAAGTTTTAAAAAATGTAAGCCACAGACTAGAAAAAAGTTTGCACTTTAATTGTCAAGGTCCTTATAGGGTCTGGGATTTTACCCTGCTTAGAAGTTAATGCATTATCCTTTTGCTGTTTTATGGATGATGGGAGAAAACATGAGATTCTGGGTGAGAGACAAGGATTTTATTGTATCACAGCAAATGGCATGAGCATTGTGGTGCATTTGTTCCCCCATGACCCTAAATATCCACAAACTGATGCTTGCACCCGCACGCAATAGGTTGTGTTACAGGTGAGGAACACTGAGTTTAGGGGAATTTGTCCTTTCTACAGTAAGTGGTAAGTCTGCTGTTTGTCTGGGGGACACATTAACAGACCCCTCAAGGTTACTCAATGAAAACACAACTCTGAGAGATATTTGGGTAAAGAGCAGTATGGACCTTGCATTCTTTTCACATACAGTGAAAATGTGCAGAGATGCTCAGGAGGGGAGGGGAGAAAAGGGGAGGGGAGGGGAGGGAAGGGGAGGGGAGGGTCTAGAATCAAGCCATACTGTAAATAAAGATGACCTCTAGAAAAGGAGGTAGAATTGTAGGGATGAGATGTATTTTACTTTTGACTCCATATGCAATTGTTTACCTCAATGAGCCTATATTGATTTCTTCACTGATTTATAATTTCAAAAACAATTTAAAAATAAAAGATGATCACTTTCCTAGAAATCACCCCATAGCAGTATGGTCAAAATTGGTCTGTGAAGTACTGAGAAATAAATCTTCATTTCTTCTTCTGGAAATAATTGTGATATATGTAAAAGCCTTACCCAAAGGTTAACACTTCTAAACATGATTCCAGTATATTACGCTAAGAGGTAGTTCAAGAAGGATAATTTTCTACTTACTTGTTCTGAAGTATACCAAACTTTAAATAAAAGGCCTTTTACCTTTAGAAGTTTGGAGTGTGCAACATTTAGCACATTTATGACAGCCTTACAACTTGGCCCTTTAATCTGTTCAATGATATAGTTGAACTTTGCTGACATGCGTTTCCAGTGTTCCAGTTCAGTGAGCGGACCTGAATCATCAGCTTCTTTTCTCATCTGCTCACTCTCAATAAGTACCTGCAATAAAAAATATATACAAAACATAGAAATGTTACATTCTTCTTTGTTAAGATCTGATTGCCTGTTTTCAAAGGCTGCTGAAAGTATAAATAATGTTCGACACCAAATAATGTTTAAAAATCCTTAGTAAATGAAGACCAGAGGCGAACTTCTTCAACTTGGTAAATACTACCTACCAAGATTCTCCAGCAAACATAATACTTAAAGGTGACAGTTTATCTGATTTATTTTGGGGTTTTTTGCCGGTGGGGTAGTTTTTTGCTTTTTGGATCTTGGGGATTTTTTTGAGACAGAGTCTCCCTCTGTTGCCTACGCTGGAGTGCAGTGGCACAACCACTATGCACTGCAGCCTCAACCTCCTGGGCTCAAGCAATCCTCCTGCCTCAGCTTTCCAAAGTGTTGAGATTACAAGCATGAGTCACCATACCTGGCCAAAGGTGATATTTTAGAAAATATCACTTTCAAACCAAGGACATGACAAGTTTGCCACAATCACCACCCACTTCTATCCTACCTGGTAATAGAAGTCTCAGAACAAGATAACTAAAGAAACAGAAGGTATAAGAATTGGAAATTTTTAAAAAAGTAAAAATGGCATAATCACAAATGACATCGTTGGCTACATTTTTAAAATTCAAGCATATATAAGGTCAGGCACAGTGGCTCACACCTGTAATCCCAGCACTTTGAAAGGCTGAGGTGGAGGATCACCTGAGCCCAGGAGTTTAAGACCAGCCTGGGCAACAAAGCAACACCTCTTCCCTACAGAAATTTTTAAAATTAGTTGGGTGTGGTAGTACATGCCTGTAGTCCCAGCTACTCAGGAAGCTGAGGTGGGAGGATCACTTAAGCCTAGAAGTTGGAGACTGCAGTAAGCCATGAACATGCCACTTCACTACAGCCTGGGTGACAGAATGAGACCCTGTCTCTTAAGAAAAAAAGACTAAAGACAAACTTTTTAAAATTAATAAACGTGAACAATTTCGTAAAGTTGCTAGATCTATACATAAAAATTAGTATCACTTCTTTACAAGCTACTTTGCAATCTGAAAATGTAATTTCCAAAAAGATACAATTTGCAACAGCAAAGAAAAACGGTAATAAGATAACTAGAAATTAATCTAAGATGCGCAAGACCTTTTTGGAGAGAATTTTAAAATTTATTTTACACACACAAAAGACCTACTAAATGGGGAGGTATGTCATGTTCATGGATGGAAAATTCAATAATATAAAGATGGCAGGTTTTTTTTAATTAATGTACAATTCAGTGAAATTCTAATAAAATCTCAATAGAGTTTTTCATAGTACTTTAAAAATTAGTCTTAAAATTGATTTTGAAAAACAATTATCCAGAAATAGTCAACATAATTTTGAAGAAAAACAACGAAAGGGCTTGGCATGCCAAATGTTGGTTGAGTAGAAAGCTATAGAAATTCAAGCAGCTCAGCATAGTATAAAAAGTAAATAAATAGACCAGTGAAGTAAACGAAGGTGTCTAACAACTTTATATATGACAGAGGTGATATTACAAATTTGTTAGGAGAAAATGGACTATTCAACAATTTAACAGAGAATGTTAAATTGAAACAATTAGCTAATTACAGGCTCACGAGAAACACAAAATTAGATTTCTACCTCACACCACACACACACACACACACACACACACACACACACACAATTCCAGATGGAATAAAAACCTAAATGTTAAAAATAAAATGGTAATATTTCTAAAAGAAAATGTAGGAGATGGGGGCAAAACTAAAAAGAAAAGCATGGAACTGAACAGCATACTTGTCAAGATAATAGTTACCACTAAGGGGAAGAAAAGATGTTTAAAACTGAGAAGAGAAATGCAAAGGCATTTTAAGGCACTGATAATGTTCTATTTTCTTTCTTTCTTTCTCTTTCCTTCTTTCCTTCTTTCTTTCTTTCGGGCCGAGTCTGGCCAGGCTGGTCCTTTGCTCCTGAGCTCATGTGATCCTCTTGCCATGAGCAAAGTGTTGGGATGACAGGTGCCAGCCATGTTCTATTTTTTAACTTGTGCAAAGGTTACACAGGTGTTCATTTTACAGTTTGTTCCTTTCATCGTATTAATTTTGTGTTATATTCCCTATTTAGAATAAATAATTTAAGAGAATGTCTTCATAACACTGGAGTAGGAAAGGGTTTCATAAGTAAAATACAAAAAGCACAGAGTTTGTAGTCACTAGGGATAGCTAGGTTGAGGCTGGATTAACATTTGTAATTAATGTATTTATCTACATTAAAAACTTAAATTTCCACATGACTAGCAACACCATACCAAATGAAATACGACACAGTGGGGACCAACATAGGATTAATATCTGGAAAATATTATTTAACCTCCAACAATGTAGTCAGATAACATCAAGCCATCCAAATGAAGAAGTGGATGATATGGGTAGATGATATGAACAGGCAATAATATGGGTAAATGATATTAACAAGCAATTCAATACAGAGGAAACCAAAATAGCCATTAAATATGCTCAGTCTCAATAGTATTTAGGGTAATGCAAAGTAAACCAAGATATCATTTCACACTCAACTGGCAACAATTAAAAATCTGGCAATTCCAAGTATAACCAAAGATTAAAAAAAAAAAAAATAGGAAGTCTTGGCGGGGCACAGTGGCTCACACCTGTAATCCTAGCACTTTGGGAGGCCGAGGCAGATGGATCACTTGAGCACAAGTCAAGACCAGCCTGAGCAACATGGCAAAACCCCATCTCCACAAAAAAATACAAAAAGCAGCCTGTCATTCTGGTGTATGCCGGTAGTCTCAACTACTCAGAAAGCTAAGAAGTGGAAGGATGATTTGAGCCTGGGAGGTCAAGGCTGCAGTAAGCCATAATCATGCCACTGCATTTCAGCCTGGGTTACAGAGCATGACCAAGAAAAGAGGAGAGGAAAGGAAAAAGGGGAGGGGAGGGGAGGGGAGGGGGGAAAGAAAGAGAAGGAAGGAAGGAAGGAAGGAAGGAAGGGAGGGAGGGAGGGAGGGAGGAAAGAAAAGGAAGAAAGAAAGGAAGAAAGAAAGAAAGAAAGAGGAAACGAAGAAAGAAACAAAGAAAGAAAGAAAGAAAAAGAAAGAAAGAAAGAAAGATAGAAGGAAAGAGAAGAAAGAGAGAAGGAAAGAAAGAAAGTCTCATGTGCTCGTTTTAAAACTATAGATTAATATAACCACTGTTTGGAGGGCTTGGTAAAATCCAACGTAAGATTCATATCCTATTGCTCCCAGCAATTCCATTGAGAAACTCTGGAGCATGTGCAAAGGAGTCTGGGACAAAGAAGTTTTCATATATATAGGTTATATACATGCAAATGCAATAGAAGTGCAAAACATTCAAGGGAATGGGAGACAATAACAGCAGGATAGTGCTAATATTGAGGAAGGGAAAAGAAAGTGATGGAGGATTTAGCTAAAATAAAAGAGATTTAAAGAAAACATAGAAAATGATTAGCATCTGTTTCACCTCAGTGGTAGTTACATGGGTGAGTGTTATTTTCCATACTTTTTAATGTACAAAAATGCTTATGTACAGTTACATTTATAACTCCTCATAATTTAAATTGTGATGGAATTTTAAGACTATAATAGCAGTTAAATACACCATGAATTTTTTAAACCCCTGAAGCTTCTATCTTAAATCCATGAAATACTTTTAATTTTAACCATGGTTTATGAAGCTCTTTCTCTTTTTTTTTTTCAATACAAATGACTTATTTATTTATTTATCTATTTTTATTTCCATAGATTTTTGGGGAACAAGTGGTGTTTGGTTACATGAGTAAGTTCTTTAGCAGTAATTTCTGAGATTTTGGTGCACCCACCACCGAAGCAGTATACATTGTACCCAATTCATAGTCTTTTATCCTTCACCCACTCCCACCCTTCCCAACTTAACAACCCTCAGAGTCCCCAGAGCTTACTGTATCATTCTTACGCCTTTGCATCCTCATAGCTTAGCTTCCACTTATGAATGAGAACATACAATGTCTAGTTTTCCATTCCTGAGTTACTTCACTTAGAATAATGGTCACCAATGCCATCCAGGTCACAATGAATGCCATTATTTTGTTCCTTTTTATAGCTGAGTAGTATTCCATGGTATACCACAATTTCTTTGTCCACTTGTTGACTGATGGGCTTTTGGGCAAGTTCCATATTTTTGCAATTGCGAGTTATGCTACTATAAACATGTGTGTGTCAGTATCTTTTTTGAATGAAAGACTTCTTTTCCTCTGGGTAGATACCAAGTAGTGGGATTGCTGCATCAAATGGTAGTTCTACTTTTAGTTATTTAAGTAATCTCCATGCTGTTTTCCGTAGTAGTTGTACTAGTTTACATTCCCACCTGCAGTGTAAAAGTGCTCCCTTTTTACCACATCTACGCCAACATCTATTATATTTTTATTATGGCCATTCTTGCAGGAGTAAAGTGGTATTGTACTGTGGTTTGATTTGCATTTCCCTGATCTTTAGTGATGTTGAACATTTTTTCATGTTTGTTGACCATTTGTATATGTTCTTTTGCAAACTGTCTATTCATGTCCTTAGCCTACTTTTTTTTATTGGATTGTTCACTTTTTCTTTTCTTTTTTTTTTTTTTTTTTTTTTTTTTTTTT